CGATATAAATACGCAAAACCTTTTTAATGAATACCTCTTTAGTGGGGATCTTTTCAAAGTTCGTTCCAGAACGATACGAATATCTACTGATAATTTAGTTTTTTTTTTTACTCAATAAAGCTGCGGTAAAAAACGGAGTTTAAGTCGGACAATATAAGAGTAACATTGCCATGACTCCCGCGCAGCCGTTCCAACAAGGTCGAAGGCGCTCTCTGCATACCATTTGTGGGCACCAGTCGCGGCGCTCTCTCTGCCTTGCCTAATTAGTTGTGACTTGCGGTGTGGGCAGCCTGCGTCGCTATACCGAACTTCGGGGCCCGCCTGCCTTATTGTTGAAGTTGCCTTCTGCGTCAGGAAACTCAATGACATCAAACCACTCACAATTAAATTTAATTTTAATTGGAGGAAATTATCCACCTCGTCACCTCTGCCATGGGTAGCTAATCCCAGCTTAAGACCCTTATTTCAATAATCTAAAAAACAAAAGCTTCAGTTTCCCCTAAAACTGACTGCTATAACAATTCAGTGCATTCATTATACCACGTAATTTTATAACACACTTTGCATCTCATTGAAATATATAATGTCACTTATTCTACTAATACTTCTTAATATTTTTTAATCGACTCATTGCCTGAAACCACAATCTAACACCAAATCTGTTGCGTGTCAATCCTTCAGTCAGAAGTGATTATTAGAATTGAAAACTAATAAAAAATATAAGGTTCTATTCTATAATATACAATTACTTATGATCACAACTAACAGAAATTGTTGTGTGTTACAGATGCTGTGTGAAGGAAAGGTGTGAGTCAGCATTACGTCATATGGTATGGCGATGATGCGTCTAATGGGAGCGTCCCGGCGTTCCGCGTGCCCCTTCCAGGCACTTACTTCACTCAATAGAGCGATGACAGTACCATTCATGGTTAACCACGAAATTCTTGCGATTCCATTGTAATTAACACACGCATTCATGAGGCGCTTCGTTATTTCGCTACCATTATATGATTTTATTTAGTGTTTGTATCGGCTATCGTATTTATTGTGTTTAATTTTTTTGAGCCTAATTTATAAATAAACGTAGGTTTAATTGAAGAAAAACGCAAGATAACTGAGCAAGATCGAAAATACGGACACCATAAAAGGAACTACGAAACTGGTTTTCATAATGATTTGACAGATTGTTTTGTATTCTGAGATCATTGTGAAAGCTAATTTTGTTCCTGGTACAACGGTTACTTCGACGGACTACAAACAACTGAAGAATGAAAATGAAGATATTCGAAAAAAAAAACCACAGAAACGAAATTTGCTCGTCCAGTTCATAAATTGCTTAAACGTGTATCTATCTATGCATCTACCTAATGTTACGTACTTGTATTTTTAAAACAAAACAATCTGCAATATAATGCAATCTATATATTAATGTGTGAAGCAAAAACTTTGTATCCCTTTTTACGAAAATTGCGCGGACGAAGGAGTATGAAATTTTCCACACTTATAGAGAATATAGAGAAGAAGTGCACAATGCTAATTTTTTTTTTAAATAATGCATAAAAGATACATTAAATCAATAAAGAAAACATTACACACACTACACTACATACCATGTATTTGACGCACACACGCATGCATACTATTTATTGTCAAACTTTTGTTCTCGACGTCTGTTGTCAAATTGAGATTAAATATTGTTTGTCTTTGTTAATATTTTTTATAGTGTAGTCTTGGCGAAATTTGTGATTATAGAAGTATAAAAATACAATCATAATAGTGTACAAACTTACAATTCCAATTAATTATAGTCGAATTTCGACTACTGCGGGACCTCTAGTATGAGTAGCTATGTAATGTTACGTGTTTACTAAGCATATTTGTTATTTTTTGCTTCGGTTTTTTGTTTAATGTACCACCTACTGTGAAATGTTAAATCAGGACAGTGTAATGTTATCAATGACTGGAGACAATGACAACGATAGTTTCTATAGGTATGTAAAGTAGCTTTAGGATGAATCGGCAGACGGTTTGTCTTTTTTTTATGGCTTAGATGTGTGGACGAGCTCACAGCCCACCTGGTGTTAAGTGGTTACTGGAGCCCATAGACATCTACAACGTAAATAGGCCACACACCTTGAGATATAAGTTCTGAGGTCTCAGTATAGTTACAACGGCTGCCCCACCCTTCAAACCGAAACGAATTACTGCTTCACGGCAGAAATAGGCAGGGTGGTGGTACCTACTCGTGCGGACTCACAAAGGGTCCTACCACCAGTCGACCTACAGCTTTTAGAAGTGTCCATGGTACTTCAGGATTCATCACGATCACTTCCCATCAGGTAGACCACAGCCTCGTCTAACTCCGTTGGTAACTAAAGGTCCAATGGTGTAAAAATTTTGATTACGCACATTGACACCTCAATAAATCATTGAAATTCCGGTAAACAATTTAAGTCCAATATGGCGTACGGCTTGTAATTATAACAATAAGATTATATTATTTTATTTTATGTTAAGCAAAAATGTCTAAATTTAGTAAATTTTAAATTAGATGTTCATTGTATAAAATGCAAAACGTGTTAAATTTGTACGTTGCGTAATTGTGTTTTATTATTTTTAATTTTTTGATTGTGTATATAGGTAGACGAGAACAGCTCATCTGGTAACACCTAAGAAACGGGAATCGGGAAATAATGTGAATGCCGCTGCTTTATATGTATCGAGACACACAATCAAAATATATTATATATTCTATTACTGAACCATAGATAATACACTTAATACTTAACCGAACTACCGTTCTACCTTTCAATACCAAATTAATGCAAAGATATTAAAACATTTAATATTTAAGATTATTAGGCATCATAAAATTGATGGTCGTGCACAATCACGCTGTTTAACAAAATATACTGTCACAATTAAACAGGAAAGTTATAAAAAAAGTAATAAGGAATGAAATTGTACCATAGCTAGCCTAAGTCATATAATATCAACAATAGCGAAAGGCAGTAATTTGTCTATAAAATGAAATGAAATGATGAAGAAAATGCCTATGATCTTTAATACTAGCTAACTTACTTGTCTCTAATAATAAACTATTTTTAAATAATTTAAGTCATATTAAGTGTGCTATCTATATTAACTATACATGATGTAATTGTCAAATTTAGTTTTTGTAATTGCTTTGCGGTTTTTCATGAGAAGGATTCTACAAAAGATTTACAATATGTGCTTTGATTAGGATATAAATATACTTTTCTGTCGCATTCGCTTATGATCATGGATACCAGTTGATTTTTATCGTCTTAAGCATACATTGCTGAATATTAGGTGAATATAATATTTGGACCGCTATTTTTTACTTTGATTTTTTCAGAATTCCCCAGATTTACCATTCATTTTCATAAACTACTCCAATACTTATAAATTGTGGGCAAGACTATCAAATTGTATACTAACCAATTAAAATAAAAGTGATGTAAAAAAATAATAAAAAGATTAAAGTGTAAAATGGAATGAGCCCCTCGGTCTGTGTCAAATTGACAACTAGTTTGACTTGTCAAAGTGAACTCGGATTCACTGAAGTAGGTCTATGCTCGGATTGCATTATTAGGACCTACCTATTACAGGGGTGAAAAGCCCTAAATAAATGATGAGGATCCATAAAATGGAGTCATTTTAAGGTGGCACTAGTATAGTAACACGTCTGAATTCAAAAAGATGCGACACTTTAAATTACTTTTTAAATTATACAACACACATTTAAAAATAGTTCACCTTTAACGATCCTTCGTTCCTTTTTAAACAAAATAAACTTCTATGCATCGAAGATATTTAAACGAGATAGTGTAGTTAAACTGTAGATATGAAACACAAGGAACTTACAATGATAATAAACGAAAGATGATCTGCTAATTCTTTTATTATTTTTCAAAATAAATCCCTTCACAAGCTAAGCTGTTGCATACGATGGGTCCACTCTTAGAGACTCCCTGCAAAGCTCTTTTAAGAGATCCGGCCTATATGGCAGATAGTCAACAATCCGACTCCAGATCTCCAAATTTGGTTTGTTTACATGGCTGAATATGCTGATGCCTTGTCCTGGTAAACTAAAATGGTGTCAACCGTTTTTCAAAACAGCTGGAGAACAAAGTATTGGTATACCATTCATGATGGTTTTTTTAGCAGAATCATAGCAAAATAGTTGATCTATACTCTATCCTCTCCTCATTTTTGTATCCAATTCTTCAGAAAAAGCATCGAATTTTTTTTGCTTTTAAATTACCTATATCGATTTTAATACTTGCTTGATTCGATATCATTTTCTAGAATTTTAGTTACAGAGCGGCCCTCATGCGTAATAAGGCCAACGCGAAAATCATAAAAATGCTATTTTCAGGCGTCAAAATCAAGACGCAAATGACATTTGTTAAAATTGATAAATTAAAAAAAAAAATCAATAACAATGATTAATGAACATAATGTGAAATTTGAAAAGTGAATGACTTTTTGGCGAGAACGGGAGGATCCAAGTTGTGTGATTTTTTTTATTTTGTCTATTTAGTGTTTCTTCAGGACCAATGTATAACAAAGGTGGTTTATTAACTGTTTAATATCTGTGAAAGTACATCAATGTGGGAAAATGAAACAAAGCCGCTGGACGTAGCTTCTCGGGATCTTCCAAAAAGTCCCACTAAATAACCACCATTTTACTGAGAGTATATTTCATCCCATATCGTCTCATCTCATTTCATTTAATTTCCTGCCAATTGATTAATGTTCCAAATTAATGAACATCTATTAATTTCACTTCCTTTTTCATAAAAAAAATTGTAAGTGACTAGGCTGTATGCTATAATACGTTTGCCTTTCCAGTTGGCTAGATAGAAAATTACTACCACTGGGAATGACAGTAAAAATGTCAGGTGTCAAGGTCTCACAAGTTTCACAGTTGACAGTTGAGTAAACATGTTTATCTTGTTGTTTGAGGTTATCCTCCCATAATGTAAAGTTTAAATGTTTAAACCAAATATACTTATCTTATTAAAGACACTATTCAGTCCATTCTAGAATCTAAAGGTTCTCAAATTAAATCTATTAAACTCAATTTATTACTACTATCACGATGGAAGCAGCAGAATTCGACGCCACCCTGGGTGGCACGGAGCAGCTGCCGTTTTCGGCAAACAGCTTAAAATTTGCCGCTTCTAGAAGTATAGAAATAGCAGCAATGACGGAAAGTATTCAACGAACGAACCATAACAAACTTATATTTCAAAACCTACCCGTTCACATGCGACGTCGTGTTATGAGCCATAATAGTAAAAGACTTCCTATAAAACTAAGAGAAGCTCATACAAAGCAGTTTAAAAATAATGGGTTTGCTGTAAAGCAAAAACGACCTTCCAGGAAATATAGACGCCGTCCACAGAACCTATTAGATGAGTACAATCGTCGACAGAAACGCCATAAATGGTTAGAGACGCNAAACCTACCTGTTCACATGCGACGTCGTGTTATGAGCCATAATAGTAAAAGACTTCCTATAAAACTAAGAGAAGCTCATACAAAGCAGTTTAAAAATAATGGGTTTGCTGTAAAGCAAAAACGACCTTCCAGGAAATATAGACGCCGTCCACAGAACCTATTAGATGAGTACAATCGTCGACAGAAACGCCATAAATGGTTAGAGACGCATATATGGCATGCAAAAAGATTTCACATGATAGAAAAGTGGGGTTACCGTTTAGCTTATGCACCTTGTGATAAAGCATTTAGAGCTTGTTACCGAGCTACATCTGCTCACTGTCTGTTACAAGACATCTCTTATGTCACTCCGATAGAAATAAATGGTCCAGTAGATACAATTAAAGAACTGTTTAGTTCAATAACCAGCCCTTCTTGTGGTCTTGGGTTGTGTGCTAAGGCATATATTGATGGTAAACGAGAAGGTTTGATTCATCTTTATCAAAGTAACACATATCCTTTCGGATACATTGGTAAATTAAATTTTATTTGGGTGCCACACAAATGCAAGAAAACATTATGGTTATTTGTTCATCCTTCTCAAACTCAGGAAATAGAATCAATATTAACAAATTTAATATATTCAAACAAAAATTATGATCCTGAAATAACAAAAAAACGTAGGAAATCCAGTGGCATGGATGAAAATGTTAAGATTAAAATAAAAGCAGGAATATTTAACAGATTTCGTTTAACTGGCCCTAATAGCCATGCTGTTCTAACACATAGCCTAAAATGTGTAGAAAGTGCTAAAATTAAAAATGATGACTGGGCAAAGTCTTATGATGACCTTAACTTAGAGGAAAAAGATGAATACTGGGAATCGCTGTCAACATTGAATTCACCATCTCAATTGCCTCCTAAGATTATTATAGGATTGATTGTAAAGGATCCACGGTTAAGTAGACCTTCAAAAAGAACAAAAGCAATAATAGAAACAGACACATCATTTGACTCAAACATTGTTCTTAATATACCATCATATGCATCATCCTCACCTTTATGGGATCTAAATATACATGAAAAATTAAAAAAGAAGATAATGTCTAATGGAGAATTTATTCAACACTTGACTAAGACAAAAATTGTTCCTGGAGATATAAATGAGAATGATCCTGTTTTACAAAGTATACCCATTATACTGATACAAAGACCGGGGTCACAAGACTCAGATTACAAGAAAATAGGTACATTTTTTTGGATTAAACTATAATTACTGGTGGTAGAATGTCTTGTAAGTCTGCAAACGTAGGTATCACCGCCTTGCCTATTTCGGCCTTAAAGCAGTAATGCGCTTCAGTTTGAAGGGTGGGGCAGTTGTTGTACTGTTACAACGGAGACCTTTAGAACTCTTGTTTCAAAGTGAGTAGCGGCATTTACGTTTTAGTTGTCTATGGGCTCCGGTAACACTTAATACCAGGTGGGCTGAGCTTGGCCACCCATCTAAGCAATAAAAATAAAAACATCATAGATTTTCATGATATTTAATCGATTTCATTTTATGTGTTTTTATTTCATATATTTTTATTTAAATATTTATTAATTTATATTGTACTAGACTGTGTTCTTTAGTGTTAATAATATTATGTCGCTTGTATCCATTAAGTTTCGTTAGTTTAAACAGGAGTTTTTAGTAAAATTCCGTTACCACTAATTTGCTTTAAAACCCTACTTTATTTGACAACGATATTGATGATCTCATAATTTTAGGGTATGGAAGCGGTTGGGATATCATAGTTCCAGCTGGTTATGGTTTACCTTTCTGGCTAACTTTTAAAATGTTTGGTGGGAGGTCTGGGGGTCTTAGAGAGACTGAGAATTTGGCCTTTGAGATGGGGGAGTGCTACTTCCCTCCAGACTCTGCTGCGGGAAAACTAGAAGAGAAAAGAATAGAGAATGAACTGAAAGAAAAATACTTTCGTCTGCCACCTAGCAAAAGAGTAAATTATATAAAATTAGGTATTAACAGCCCTTTTATTTGCCCTTGGGATTTGTTATTGAAAGATTGGTGTGAAGAACACATTTATGACTTCTTTGTGTTGCGAGATAGACAGTTATTGAATCAAATACAGGTAATTTTGTTTTGTCTCTTCATTAGTTTACAGAAGATGCTTGATGTTAAATTACCAGAAGCCATGCAAGTCATACCATATCTTCACTGATGAAAACAGAAAGGTGGTTGATGATTGTCTTGTTCATCAAATAAAAAAATTGTCAAGTAAATAATTAGACTATATTTTTTTAAGTATGCATTTTTTTAGTTTATCACAAACATCTTCTAAAACTTAAAGAAATATTTCAGGATTCTATAGACAGGAAAAAACTAATGCCAGAAATTGAAAACTCAAACTCATGCCTCATCCCTGTATACTTGACTCTGAAATCGAGAGGAAATTTAAAACGGCATGCTTTGATTTGTTTACCCGAAGTTACTGACGCCTCTAATATAAAAACATTATTTGAACCACATCATGAAGATCCAAATGAAAAACATAGAAAACAAAAAAGGAAAGAACACCTTAAAGAATTAAAGAAATCCAGAAAGAATCGAGTAAAACTGAAAAAACAGGGTCACGTAAGTTTTTTTATTTCTCTTATCCTAGTAGAGGGACTTCTTGTACCCTAAATAGATACTTTGGAAATTTAACTATATATTTTCTTGTTTAGAAACAACATTCATGATGAAGTAATAATTCATTAGTCTATCTAAACCAAAATAAAATAATTGTATGATTAGTGATGGATGAGCCAATGTGACCATCGCTATTATGCTAAAATTGTTTTACTAAATTAAATAGCTTTATACTTTTAGTTTTATTTTTAAAACTTCAATTGAAACTTCCATATATTGTCTCAGGTTTGGTACATGCATGTTGTAATGTAAATGGGTTTGACCAAAATCATGAGATGGGCCATGAGCTCATCTAGCCAATGGAAAAAATCAACTAAAACAGCCCAATAAATTTCCTTCCTTTTCAGGCCAGCAATGTTACTAAAAGAACAAACGAGCCTTCTGAATATGTGAAAAATATGCGTCAATTGTGGTTACCATCAAAAATTGATAGTGTGCGTTTTATTGGAACACGGCAAGTTTTAGGTTACTTGTCAATGGGAGCTCTTAGCTTTTCGGAAGCTCGAAGTTGTGGTATTGGATATGTGGCGTACAATGCCCTTTCCGAATTATTAAAAATGGAACAAAATCGAGTATTGGTTCGCAATGTCTCATCACGCAAATATTGGTTAGCAAATATTCAGACAGTAAAGAATGTTTAAATAAAAATTACCATTAAAAATATGTAATGCCTTTATTTCTTTGCTCAATTTTCTTCTACTTCTGTCTAATATCACACTATTACTGTGACTGTAATACTTACATGGAGATGAACTGAAGACACAATTACTTACTTAATATTCCACTAAATAGTAATTTATAAAATATTCTGGTGATAATTTGGGATGTTTCAATTTTAAAGTGATCTATGTGTTTGATTGTAACAAATTATTTTTTAAGTTAAATGCTTACATTTGTACAATCTCAATTCTTCTGAGCCTATATCACGTCGGCTTGAAGTTTTTCAACTTGTATATTAAAGCAGGCAGACAGCGAGCGAGCTTAATACCATAAACTCTATATTCGTTTAGCAAATATTAAATCTTCGAGCGCTTTCTAGCTATAGCATCTTCGACAGCCTTCAGTTGTTTCAGCAGTTCCTCTCTCCGTGAGACGGGTTTCTTAGCTGGCGGTACGTTTACAGGCGATGACGTCGAACGTTTTCGACTAGGTATTTCTATGTAGAAAGCATACATATTAGACACTAGCGACTCGCCCCCGCTTCGCTTCGGGAACCCTTATTTTTTAATAATGGTTTTATTGAATTTTCTATCTTAATCTTTTATAGTATCGGGCACTCGGTTGTTTATAGTCATAACTATTCAAATATTTGTCCAAATGATGTAGTGTAAAAGACAAAGTTTATCTACCCTTATTATCAGATGCAATAAAATTTACTTTGATAATGGATCAATTTGTTACTACCAAATGTGCGTTAGAAATAAATTTTAATTTTTCGTTGTATTTATGGTTCACTTTTTGGCCATAAAGCTTACACATAAAAGATATATGCTGGTTTTTTTGTAAGACTTTTTAAGATAAACATTTCCATTATATATTTTAAATGTATTAATTACCCTAACGGTTTTTGCGGCGCACGCCAGAACATCTGGTAGATGGCAAATTTTTTCCTAAATATTTGAAACATAGTGAGTGAAGAAGATTATAACAATAAATGTAGGGATTTTTCAATTGTAATTCTTTGTCTAAATGGTACTTATAAATTTCGATTATAAAATAGCTCATCGAAATAAGGAATTACGGCCAATAGTCTTGATCGTTTTGTATACGTTAATGTGCTTCATACTAAATAGATTACTTGTTATTGTGTTGTTTGCGCTCTCCGCCATTACTAGCTGCGATTGTCGCAATATTAAATCGAAGGCAGAAAAGCTATTTGGTTTAAGCGATATGTAACTTTAAGGGGAGAGCCATTTAAAGTTTAAAATTTGGAAAAAATATAACAAAAACACTTCTTTGACTATTTGAATAGAGTAAAATTATTTAAAGTCCAATTAAAAATATCGATCTTTTGATGCTAATACCAAATAATACACAACTATAATTACAATGATAAATGTCGCGTATTAAGCGAAATGTCGCTTAAATCAAATTGCCTTTCACCCCTCGATATGTTTGATAGAAATATGCTTGTGAATAGAATGAGTATTGTTACTATACATATTCATATCACAGTTATCAGATATACAATTATTTTTCATATAGAAGACATACAAGATGATCACGAAGTAATAAGTATATTTGATTATGAAATAAAATCATAATAGATTTTCCTACATACCAATAGCGTTTGAGATAAAAAAAAATATCTTACCTTTTTCTATTGAAGATTCCTTTTTACTGGTCACTGTAGACACGGCCGCCGCGAAACCAGCATTTGATTTCGCATTTAACCTACAAATAAAACAATTTACTGTGAATAAATAAACAGTTTCATAAGCAAATTTTTTAAATGACAGTTTTGCAGATTGTCTTTAGATTTTTTTAAAATCCCGATCTCCTTTTTCGCATATCACTTTTGTATAGATACAAGAGTAGTTGTTTTTATCATTTTCTTGAAGTCATGACTTCACCTTTCAGTTCAATTATTTTAGAGGTCTTAAATAATTGAACTGAATTATATATTATTTTATATAAATATATATACAAAACAATACATTTTAACCAATAGCAATTTCAAACGTTACAATAGAAAATATTTAATTTTGAATATACCGCCTTATGGCTCTAATGTCAGAGAATAGTATGCACCTCGGTCTCGCGGCCGCATTGAGTAGCCTGGCGTGTCGGGCCCGGCGTGCTCCCGAACTGCCCGATGTGGACGACGAGCGAGAATCTGTTTCAGATTCACTTGATGACGACGAAGAGTCTAAAATAATGTTTTTTTTTTTTAATGTAGTACTGTGTCTTTAACAATACGCGAAGTAGCAGTAGATGAAGTGCAACTGTTTCGCGATTTCCCTGAGAAGATCTGGCTTGAAACTCAGTGGGCGGATGTTATGGGCTATGGAACTCTTCGACGTATTCGAAAAGTAAGGCATCTACTGTAGGCGCGCGAGTTCATGTCCATCCTGAGGAATGCGGTAGTGCTGTGACCTAGTTAATTATGGTAATGTCGATAATAACTACCGATTTAGTCAATAGCTGTAATGTAACATAAGGTAATTTTGCAATTTATGAAATAAAATAAATGTGATAAGTAATTACTTGTTTATTACTAACAGAGAAAAATATTTTTTAAATTCCAATTCAATCACTATCAAATGAAAAGACAACCGACAGATCAGAGTCGGAATCAGTATGTATCTTTTTTCAGTAGGTTTTATTCTATCTGAACTTGTTGGAAGGAGAGTAGTAATGGTTAAAAGCACAATAGCGTTAGCGTAAATTTTCGATATCGATAAGCGCGCGTCACAACCGTCAAGGACAGCACTCGACGTCAGACAAATGCGGGGAGGCGTGCGAAGGTGGGGCGAGCTGTCCCCCGCGCGTCGCCTCTGGCCCCGATGGACATGAACTCGCGCGCATACAGTATCTGTGCTACTGCTTCTGCTAGTGTTAGAACTAGAAGCATCCAAAAGCACTGACAGTGGGATGGGTGGGATGGGTGGTTCCATCAGGCGCTCCCATCCTTCAACTTGACTTCATATTAATGAAGCAAGCTCATACGTAAGGAAACGAACATAAAAAAAAACTTGATTTACGTTTTCCAATAACGTATGAAAGGAATATTGGAAGTATTTTAAAATGAATACAAAACTTACCTGATCCGGAAGAAGACGATCTCGAATATTTCTTTCTGTCTTTGTTACGATTTGGTAATTTATTACGTCCGTAAGGGTCCATTTCTTCCTGTGATATCGCATTAAAAGTGTTAATGTATTACTTTTTATGAAATCATAATGTATACTGATACAAATCAATGGACATACCAACTAGATTATAAATTATTTTACCATGATTAAAGTTTGCATAACGTGAACCAACAAAAACCAACCGACAGCCTATCCCATAGACATAACCCACTGAGTTTCTCGCTGGATTTCCTCAGTAGGTCGCGATTCCGATCTGGTGGTAGATCCTACAAAATCCTGCTCTTGCTAGGGTTAACGTTAGGAAATACAGGTTGAGCCCGTGAGCTCACCTACCCGTCAGGGCGTAGCTGGAATAGTCCCTTAGGCTACCAGCGAATGGGTAAGAATAAAAAAAACACCGACAGTATGCACAGTGGATTCCAAACTGTGTGGATAGCACCAAAAAAAATAGTATTAACTAAAAATTGCTATCGTTAGATGGATTTTGTTAATTTAGAATTTTTTATTGCTTAGATTTATTGGTAAACAAGCTTAGAGGCTCATCAACAAAGTACATGCCGTAACGTAAGAGCGGCGACGTAAAGGGGTCATGACCGGCTATGGTTCGATTTTACTGTTAAGGCGTGCCAAGAGGTTTCTCATCAAAATCCTTTCCTACCATTCAGCGACCGATAAGTATTCTCTTCGGGGCGGGCTTACGGCGTATCGGTAGCACAAAGCAAACCGATGGGGCTACGTTCGTAACTTTTTACAAAACTGAACGATTCGTCCAATTTCCGTACATTTACGGTACCATACCTGCTTGAGATACAGGTTTTATCACCTAGTTCAAGCACAGATGCACATTATACTTGTGTTTCTACTTCGATGTTAATAATAAATAAAAAATAAATAAATAAACGATAGCTATTATTACGATTTAAATAATTTAAAGAAATTTTCAAAAATACTGATAGAATTATTCAAACTGGTTAATAATATAATTATTTTAACATTACATTCTATATAATTGCACGATCTGTGGATAATATTAGTGTAATAAAATGTGTTAGCTAATAATAAAATTGATCACTGTTAATTTAACGAGCCGAACAGATTCCAAATATCTACATAGGTACAGCTATTAAAAAAGATTTATCCAACTAATATCAACAATAATATCAATAATATCAACTATCCAACCTATGTATTACAATACGATATACGCACGCTGTGTACTAAAGCGTCCAAAACGTAAACGATCAAATTGTTTGTCGAATTATTTGACAGTATGCAGCTTTGTTTGACGTGGTTGATGGAAATCTTGATTGACGGCGTGTTTGACAAACAACTTTGAACGTATATGGGGGTGTTCGTCAAACAACATCTCATTCGTTGCTCGACACGACGTCTTGTTACGGCGAGGAGAAAACCGATTCTACGGGCAAGTTAACAAACTTGTTTGATCTTTGGTTTGATCGTTTAAGCTATTGTTTGATGAAAACGTAAAGTTTGATCGTTTACAGGGAGCTTAATATGCCTTACGATTAAAACGTTGCGGCGTCGTGCGTTACCTTGTGTCTGAAGGAGGCGGGCGGCGGCGGGTTGACGGCGCCTTGTCGCGCGGTGGCGGGCGACAGAGCGCGACGCCGCGGCGCCGGCGGGTTCATGGCGGTGGCGCGCGCTGTCGCCAACCTGCGCTCGCGGACTATCACTGATGGCGATAATCTAAAACCGTCACGTTACACATTAGATTTAATATATTGTATACTTAAGGAAACCTTTATTACTGTATTTATCTAGGCCACATTGATGGGTAACACTATCCTACCTATTCCTGTCCCGAAGCGTTCAAACGTTCTGGTCTAAAACATAGAAAACCCGTATTTCAATATTATGGAAACTTCAATCTGGTATCTCGGTACTGAGTGGCGGCATTCACTTTGTGTAGTCTACGTCATGCGGTAACCTCTTAACGCTAGGTAGACTCTGAGATCGTCTGCCCCTATCATGCATAAAAAAATCACACTTTTCGATTTAGACTTAATTCTGACAACGTGTTTCAAAGATCACCATCGACGCTTCTGATGTCTATGGACTCCGGGAAACGTTAAACACCAGACACATCCTCGATGGAAATTAAAAAAAAAATCTTGCCTTTGTCTCGATGAGGATGAAGCTCTCCTTTTGCGACGCGCGCCTGGGGACCTCGAGCTTCTCGAGCTGGAATTGGAAGAGCTGCGAGGTGAACAGAAAGCCGGGGAGATAGGAAAGGACACGCACGCACACAAGCACGCAACTCACGTGCACGTACACTCGTCACACACGCACACGGCAGCGAATCCCAGTGAACGCGACCAGTAAACGCATGCAGTTAATGGAAGATTATCAAATGAAATCAGATCAGTTTGGACACCGAAAATACCACGTCGTTACAGAGTTATGAAAGCAAACCCAATGGGCAGGGAATAGGATAAAAGCGGGGTGATATATTCAAATCAGTATTTCTGATAATTGTTTTTTTACCGAAAACGATTATGGTTATGTTTTATAGTACTTGTTTTATTACATATAAGAATTGTACTTGTTCTTTGAAAAAATAAAATAGTTGGTTATTACAATAAAATGTTGAAGTTTACCACGCCTTAGAGAGTGATAGTGACTTCAAGGTATTCTAACCAATTCTTTAAGAAGCATTATTGGTAAGGCAAACAACAATTTAATAAAATAAAAAAATAAAACATTTCAAATAATTCAAAACATTAACTGTCTTGTTTTCCCTAAACTGATTTTAACAATATCAGTTCCAATGAAAACGATGCAGAGAATTATTTTATTCCTATTTTGCTCTATTCATACTCAAATACTATAGCGAAAAGAGTAGAAACGTGATAAACCATAAGATAACTAAAAGGGATGCTTAAGTTTCAGGACACTGTTTTAAAACTTCACAAAAATGTGATAGAATTCCTTATAAGAGTTGAAATATTGTTGTTATATAATAGTATACTATTTCTTGAAAATTGAACCTGGTTGAGGAGTATGAGTCGTCGGAGGAGGGTGGACGACGTCTCCTGGCTGCAGGCTCGGCGCGCATCCAGGGATCAGCCCACTCGTCCCCGCGGCCCTCCCCCCGCCCTTCACCTCGCCCCTCCCCTCGCGCTTCGCCCCGCACTTCCCGGCCGCGTCCCTCTCTGCGTTCCACTTCCGCGCGCTGCACTATCACCTCTCGGGATGAGCGAACCCGCCTCTGCTTTGTTAACAATTTTGTGCTTTGTAATATTTACATTAGTACAAATCATATCGTATTTCCCTACCTATTTCTGCCGTGAAGCAGTAATGCGTTTCGGTTTGAAGGGTGGGGCAGCCGTTGTAACTATACTTACTTGAGACCTTAGAACTTATAGTGGGTGGCGCATTTACGCTCTGTAGATGTCTATGGGCTCCAGTAACCACTTAACACCAGGTGGGCTGTGAGCTCGTCCACCCAACTAAGCAATAGGAAAAAAAAATAGAAAAATAACGCCATTAATCAATCATTATTTCTTTTTTCATTTATTACTTAGGTATGTTAAGTATTTAATTTATAGCGTTAATTACAGCGTCCCGGGCGCCATTAAGCAGGCCGAATGCAGGCAGCATTGGAGGAAGCTGGTGCAAAAACTGGACCAAGGTGGTCCCGACCCTCAGCAATGAGGAAACGACAGAGAAGAAGAAGAAGAATTACATTAATATAGACCTCTACAAGCTGTCTGCGCAATTACTTTTATCAGGTAAAGGCCATTGTCTTATATTGAACCAAGTTAGGATGCATGTGATTTTCTCGTCTTATTTTTGGACATTCGTCTTGTTTGCAATGCAGTTTTTAGGGTACCGTAATAAAGTTTTTAATTCATTGAGTTTTTTTTTACCTCATTTTTGCGTAGACGAGTGATTGAACCCATCTATCTATGACATAACATCCAAATCAATTGTTTAGTATAACAACTGTCCAACCCAACAAATCGGTATGCATTACTATATACTTAGCGTCAGTAGTATTGTACGCGCGCGGTATATCTGATAATCTGCAAGCGAAGTGAATTGTCCCTTCGTAATAAGATGACACTTTACAAAACTTGCATACGTTCGGTCATGACCTATGCAAGTGCAGTATTCGCTCACGCGGCCCGCACTGACTTGAAACCCCTTCAAAACATACAATCCCGTTTTTGCAGGATAACCGGCGGAGCATCGTGGTATATGAGGAACGTGGATCACCACAACGACCTAGTAGACCTCCAGTCCATCAGTAAGTATCTACAGTCGGTATCAGTGCGCCATTATGAAAAAGCGACACGACACGAGAACCCGCAGACCGAATGGTAAGCAGTCGACGTCGCCCTAAACGTCATTTCGGATCCGCCCGATCTACTACGGTGCTTTTAGGTACCTCAAGCACCGGTCATCGTTGCGACGAAGGGCTCGACGAGCGAATTAATCCACAGATACAGCCCACTGAGTTTCTCGCGGAATTTTCTCAGTGTGTCGCATTTCCGATTTGGTGGTAGATTCTGCACTGAAAGCACTGCTCTTGCTAGGGCCAGTGTTAGGAACGTAGATTTGAGCCTCGTGGGCTCACCTACTTGTTCAGCTAAGCTCGCATAGCCTCGCAAGGCTACCAGTTAAGGGAAAAAAAATATTAAAAAAATCGCGCGAAGTCACAAGACGCCGTACCCACGAGTAAAAATGAGAAATATGAATCCTATATTTATCGTATATCTCTGATAGTCAATACATACAAGTTTGTTGTCAATAAATGAAGCTTTTAATAAATGTGACAAGAATATTTAATAACTCGGTAACTAATTAAAGGTTTGCAAGAATTTAATATTGTTTAAACCTTGTGATAAGGGGCGTCCTCCGGTATGCCCTCTTCGAAGTGCGGAGGCATGCGTTCGTAGGGTCGCTCGTGTTGCTCGTACGCACGCTCACGCTCGTAGTACCGCTCGCGTTCATCCGGACCGGGGGGCCGCGGGAATCTGCCGCGATACATCGGCCCGTATGCTCTTCTGAAGAAGAAAAAAAACCGATTACAATCAAGCTGTCAATGACTAGATCAATAGCAATAACAACAAATATCGGTACAGTTCATGTTCCCGGTAGTAGGGCGGCATGTCGGCGTGCCTCGGCGGCGAGGCTCCGACGGCGGCGGCGGCGTACGCGAGCTCGGCGTCGGGATCGTGCACGGCCCCGCCCACCGACAGGTGTAGCTTCTTCTCCTCAAAGTCCATATCCTGCTCCTTGCGCTTGTTCGCTATGCGTAGCATCTACAAACAGCCACAATTTGACCTCTTTGCCAGTTATATATGATCAGACACTAGACATCACAATGGGAACTACGCTTCCGAAATTCGTGTCAATAAAAACGCTACCCAAAAAAAAAAATAATGTTGTACTCAATCTGTCCAATTTCAAGCCAAAATGACAATATCGATGAATTAACAAAACCTAAAGTTTCAGTTACATTTAAAAAGATATGTTATTTTACCTCTTTGGCAGTGCGAAGACCGCGTTCCCAAGCCGACTCAGGAGGTTGGGGATCACGCGCGGGGGCGGTGGGTACTCCCCGTATGACATCAAACATATTATAGTTGCCTTTATCAGTAACTCCAGGATGCAGAAACCTGGCAAAACAGTTGTTTATTATTAGTAAAAAATCTATCTGCTGAAGGCTTCTTGAGTTTTATTTGACTGTATTTGACAAAGGTCTAGTATTTAAATAGGTCAATATTTGAGTTTTTCACCTGCAGCTGACGCCCCATGTACAAGCTCCGCGTGCAAAAAACCTGCAAACTGGTCGAGGCTCACTTTCTTCTGGTCGTCGCTCTGCCTCATCGGAGACCTCGCCTTCCTCCAACGAAGAGCCTCTCGACCGTTTACCTGGTTTAGCTTCCTCTGAAAAATAAACAGAAAAATATAGGGCATATATTAGTGTTTTTATTCAAAAAGCGTATAGCATATCAGGGCACAAGTGAATCTCTTTTTATTTATCGACTTTTTAGACAAAAATGCCATTATATAACATTTACAATTTATATTCATGCTATAAATTACATAGATACTACAAGAATAGACTAAAGTTATTCAAACTACCTTTTTCTTCGCCTTTCTCTTCAATTTCTCCGTTTTCACATTCAGCTGTCTTGGGTTCAATACATTCCCCTTCTTCAGCCTCAAAATCCAGCTGTTCCTCTGCATCTTCAGTGTTGCTGGTTTTTTCACGAGGAACCTGGCAACAAAAAAAAGTACTTTACACATTTAAGCCAAAAAATCTCTGTACAACAGAACAGAACAGAACACGGGTATTAAGTGACTTTTTTGACTCCTGAAATATAAAAATTATTGAATATTGTAATTATGATCTGTTTTCTGGACACAATGTAATACAATTATTACAAATTAGCTAATGTGTGGGGACATTGGTTTCATGTGACTGAGATCCGACAAAGTGGCTTCACTTTAGATTTAGGCTTCTTATGGATTACCCAAAATCATAGTCATATGCTATAAAAAATGCTTAATTTAACCATTGTTTTTTTTAAAGTTATGTTTAGCTCACATTGATTTCTTTAAACAGTGTTGTTTTTAAAAACACTTTTCCAAACACAGCATACATATTTATTTGAATATAAAGTAATTAATTGTAAAGTAAGTACTTCATATGAGTCGACTATTATCAAAGCCGGCAATCTGACTTTTGGACAATGATTGGTAAAACAGAAAAACGAATTATTGACTTTGTATTCCATTGGCAGTCACAAAACTCTTCGGAACGACATCTTAGATAAATAACAGGTTAACTATTAACCTTTATTTAATACAGGTTTTGAACCGTATTCTTTGAAGGAGACGATTATATTCAAATCAATCTGATATGACATTTCAATAAATTTTTTTTGTCCAAATGCACAGATTGCCGCCTTTGATAATAGACGACTCATATATGTATTATCATTGTCATATTTTCACACAAATTAATATCGAAATTAGGAGCATAATGTACAATTGATTTTAAACAAAGTCTTATCTAAATAAGCATATAATTTACTAGAACCAATTAAAATATTAAATGCATAATGTGAAACATTTAATTGAAGCATTTTAACTCTAATTTTGACAAAAATATGAGCACTGTACATATGAAATGAACAAAATGTTTCATTTTGAACAAAATAATATTTGTTGCTTGTAACTTAATTAAGTAATTAATATGAAAGGCATTTTAGTTGTTATTAACAGATATTTTAAGTGTATAAAGTAGAACATTTGCCTTACTGCTGCTTACTTTGTCATGTTTGGGCAATTCTGTTTTAGAACCATCCGATTTTGGAGAGGACTGTGAACCATTGATGTTGACTTCTTTGGTTTCTGAAGCTGGTGACTTCGGCTACAACAAAGGAAATAAGGTTAGTTAAAAACTACTTATGGAAATTAATAAAGCAAAATAAAAATAATGCAATTATGTCAACTGATTATACAATTAATTTTATTTATTTTTCATTACACTTCATGTAAAATTTACATTGGCGGACTAAATGCCTAAGGCATTCTCTACCAGTCAACCAAAGGCAATGCAGAGATTTTAGTAATATGACATCTGCCATGAACTTTTGTCAATTGTTCAATGTTTTGTATTGATGATCACTTTGTTGGTGCAACTTAATAAATAAATAAATAAATAAATATTGACAAATTTTATTATTATGGTATCTCATATAACAAGTGTACCTTGGCTTGCTTTTCTGTGTCTTCTCCCATGGAATCCAAATCTGATACATCAGACAAATCCTCATGACTGATATTTAAGTTTTTATTATCCTGTTTCTCACTCCTTGGTGATTGTCCTGTAGATTTCTTGTCTTCTTCCTCTGATTCCATTTCACCTGTGTTATTTAGATTTGAAAATAGTATCTTATTATGGTTTGTTTATTAAACATGCTAAATATATATATTTTTTCTTTTTCTAATATTTACCTTCTGATATTTCTTCTGTTCCTGGCTCTTTAGAATTTCTTTTATTGTATGAAGAAATGCTAGATTGACTTGACTCAGATCTGCTACGACTGCGTGGAGCTGGTACCATTTTCTGTTCAGCTTTTGTATGTCTTCTCCACTGTTCTTTTGGACTCCAATCATTTTTATTTACTGGTAATCTTTTATCTAATGAGGTAGATGGATTGCGATCTGGAGAAGGACTGGACGACGATGATCTTGACTGTCGTTTACTTGTAGGAGTTGTAGGTTGTGACTGTGAATCTGGTGATGCTGGTCGAGATCTAGTATCTGGGGAACCAGTAGGAGATTTTGTGGACCCACTAGGACTTTGTGGAGTCTTTGGTCCTTCATTCATACTATTGGGAACAGGACTGTACTGTTGAGTGAATGTAGGTGATCCTGGATTGGAACCCACATCACTAGATTTAGGAGTACTTGGAGATTTAGGACCTAAAGGTGATCCAGGCATTGAATTTTCAGGAGAATTAATATCAGAATGAGCACCGCTCATGTTCCCTGGGGAACTAGCTCCTCGGTGTTGATTGGATGTTGGATGCAAAGGAGATTGTGACTGACTATCTGGAGAAGGAGAATGTGGACCACCTGAACCACCAGATCGAGGAGAGTGAGGCGGTAACTTAGAATCTTTTTTAGATCTTCTACTTCTGTCTGATGATGAGCTCCTCCTGCTCCTGGAGCTCGAACTGCTACTACTTGAAGATGATCGAGCATCTCCATTTCCATCTCTAGAATCTTCAGAATCCATCCCTGAAAGAAAATGAAAGCGTGTCCTGTAGCATAATTATAACCAAACTGTTAGTTCGTGTTCACATCAACTAGGTCTTAGACTCCAAATAAGTTTGCAACCATCTTAAGCCTTAAAGTAAGTTAGTAAATGTTGAAATTAGATTTTTACTATGTCATGACACAAGAAACTTCAATAAAGAAGTTTTCAGTTACAATTCTTATTTTTTTAAAGCTTACTGCAATGCAAGAACAATTTTGAAAGTGCAAATTTATTTTTATTCTTTTATGGTATTTTCTATATAAGTCATCCCAATGTGTCACAAGTCCCAATTGGTTCAGTGTCTGTGATTATTGAAATTATTTTATGCTTATTTTAAATTTGGATTATGGGCTCATGGTTCATCTGGTTTAGTGATTATCGGACATCAAGACATATTATGTTGATATGAAGACAATATGAAAGCAATTAATGTATTGCAAACCTTTGAGAACAGAATTCAGAAATGAATTTAATTGTTGTGTATTAATTGTCCTGTCCATGAACTTGAACTAGCAATTCTAACATTTTTAATGATTCTTTACATAGCTTAGTACATAAATGGAATGTTTTTGTAAAAAAACTTTTTACAGAATGACGTTCAACAATAAAATCACATTTTGTATCTTTACACACTCTATTAAATGGAAATAATTTCCTTTTTTCTATTATTCGAGAAACTGGGAAAATAGTATCTACTGTTACATCTACTTTTATTGTTAAATATGGCAATCTACTGATAAGCAATAATTTCTAAATTGTGGCAATAAAAACACCAAACATACAGCTACTTCTTCAGCTGAATTCATTAATGACACAAATTTTGNATTTTGTATCTTTACACACTCTATTAAATGGAAATAATTTCCTTTTTTCTATTATTCGAGAAACTGGGAAAATAGTATCTACTGTTACATCTACTTTTATTGTTAAATATGGCAATCTACTGATAAGCAATAATTTCTAAATTGTGGCAATAAAAACACCAAACATACAGCTACTTCTTCAGCTGAATTCATTAATGACACAAATTTTGGCAAAAATATAATCATAATGTTATGGCAATAATCAATTTTGTTTTTTTTTAATTCCAACTTTTAGCATCATGAATATAACATTTTAACATTTTACAAAATAACAATAACTTTAAGTTTAAAGTTATGGTTGCCACTTATTTACTTTTTTTTTACTTTTATTACTTTTTAGTACTTTTACATTTTTTCATTAACACGTTGACTGCCATGTAGGTCAACGGTGTCCTACGCAGCACACTGAAGTAATTATATTGATTTCTGTTACTAAGTTCTACTAAGTTCTTTTGTTTGTTAATGTATATTTGTCTCTTAGAAATAGATTCATTCTCAGATATCTACAGTTTTTTTCCCCTGAGTCTACTAGATATTCCATTAGTAAGATGATCGAAGAGAGAAATCAATATAATTACTTCAGTGCGCACTACACTAGGGCACTGGTGACTTACATGGAAGTCAACATGTTAAATGAATTTTTTTTATTTATGCCTAATTTTAATTTCATTTAATTATACCTATAACATATGCCCAGTACCGAAGGTATACCGGATGGGCCGTGAGCTCATTCAATCATCTACAAAATAAATAAAAAGGGTGCAACTTCCACTTTCACAATTACCTATTCTCTACGTGATCATACCGTTTCCTGTCCCACTCACGCACTGCAAACCTTAAGAGACTTGTGATGTTAGAAAAATGCTACAGTAGCAAGAGTTCTACTGACTTTTATTAGCTGTAGTAAATGTGGAATAGCCTTATTATTATTCAAGTTATCAAAGAAAATCCTTTATTGGGTAATGTATAATATTTATTTTATAAATTATATAAATAAATAGTGTTTCTTAAGAAACTTCTTTATTGACTCCTCTGTGAAATATAGAAAAGCAATGAGTGACTAGAATTAAATGAACGTTCATTTGTGTTTTACTACGCATTCTTCAATAGTTACCACAGTTGTTTGAAAACCAAAAATGATAGAAACGTAAACGTTGGCATAATGAAGGTTAAGTTAAATAACAACATTATTTTTAGTTGATAAATATGTATTTTAATACTTAATTTCCCGATTTATTTGCATGTATCGTTTTGTAAAATGCTACGACGTGATGTATATTGAATTTACATCCAGCCTTACCTTAAAGATGACGCCTCGATGGCAGAATTGGTGGCACTTTAAAACACTTTTCATTTCAAAGACTTTTCAACTTTTAGGATCACAACACAAACGAAACTCGGGTCTGTCACATTTACTTGTGAACAACTTTAACTTGGAAACTTTAAAACTATAACTGACGAGAACGTATTAAAATAAACACTACTTCAACATGGCTGTGATATGGAAGGAAGTTTAATATGATAAATTATCACTTTCCATTACATCCGTAGTTTAACTTACGCCCTTACCTTAACTGAGATGGACTAGACGGTTAAATTCTTGATGATTTTGTTAATTTAATTTAAAAAAGAAATATATGCGCTTCAAACAATTCCCTCACTTCAGCGCGTAATCCACAATTTGACTGAACTTTTCTTTACATTTTATAATCTGTGGTTTACTCATCAAAATCAAACTGGTTGTAGGTAGCAGCCCCTGTTATAATTTATTTTAATAGTGTTGGAATAACAATGAAAAATATTGTACAAATAAAGCTTTAATACAGTTTAAATATTGGAAACTTTTGCAAATTAACACATATAAAAGCTTGCTTGGATGTTGCGATACCTCGAAGTTTCACAGTGTCAATATGAGTTGTATGTGTACGGCAACTATACTTTTTTGGCAATTATCAATCAGTTCCATTAGACAACTGATTTCATTTTATTTCGTTTTACTTTTTCATAAAACAAACGTTTGCTTCGCTTTTTAATCTCTTGATTCTTGGCTGTATCAGGTTAAGGCTCTCTTTGCCTCTCCATTTAGCGAAACCAAACAAAAAATGGTCTATGTCTAAATGTTTACCCGCCAAATATAAATTTCTAAATTGACAAACAACGTGATAGTATTATTAATAAAAATGCTTGAGCAAGCTCTCGATGATAACATTTCTGAAAACGATGATGAAGAAAGTTTCTTCCAAGACGTTGACATATTGCAAAAGCATGGCATTAACGTAGCAGACATAAAAAAACTAAAAGCTGCTGGTATCTGTACAATCAAAGGTATTCAAATGTCAACAAAAAAAAAATTAACAAACATTAAAGGCTTTTCAGATACCAAAGTAGAAAAAATCAAAGAAGCGTGTCAAAAAGTTGTAACACTTGGATTTATGACTGCTTTAGAAGTTAGTGATCGGCGCAAACAAGTGTTCAAAATAAGCACCGGTAGCACGGAACTAGAGTACGTATAATGACTTTTGATATTAACTTAAGTGAAAAGGACCTTTTATCATCTTATTTATATATATAATTCTTCTGTCCGTGTGTGAGCACCTCCTAAACGGCTAGACTGATTTTGATGAAATTTTGTGTGTGTGTTCCAATGGGTTCGAGAATGGCTTAGATTCACAATTGAATATTGTAATAACTTTTTTTAATTCATCAAAACAGTCCAGATCAATACTGTGTATTCAAAAGGTTTGAGATTTTCGCATTTAAGATGTGTGTATAGGACAACATCTGTCGGGTCTGCTAGTAGGTACTTACATAATATTTTACCAGCTTACTACCCACATATTGTTGCAGTGTTATCAAATATCTATCTGTATCTTTTTTCTTCAGTAAGCTGCTAGCTGGCGGAATTGAATCAATGGCAATAACAGAAGTTTTCGGCGAGTTCCGTACAGGAAAAACTCAATTATCTCATACATTATGTGTTACGACTCAAATCCCCAATTCTAAAGGTTACCAAGGCGGGAAAGTAATGTTTTTGGACACTGAGCATACGTTGTATCCTTTGATAATCTTTAATAGTTACAATCTCCAGCTAATTAATGTAGTGGTAATGCAATTCACTGTTATACCACATGTCCCAAATATTTTGTGTCATTTTAATAATTTCATTCCTTTGAAGGAGGAGACCACCCGGCAAATGTCGAAATAGTTAAATCTGTTTATTTACAATCATAATCGAAAGGGTCAAACTAAAAGGTTTATTGTTACTTTCAAGAATATAGTACCTATCAGAAATCGATGCGTCTTTCGACGGCCTGAACTTGGACGGTACATTTTAACAGAGATGTAGAGACTAGACGTAACCCAAAAGAATGAAACCTAAAATTTCAACAAGATAGGCCAGACGTTCGAAGAAAAATAGAGTTTGATTTTTTTTCTATTTAACGTCTTATATTATAATAGTGTTGATTCGAGATAAGATTGAACATGAAACGTAGATTTTCAATTAATCTATCTAAGATTGACTGTTTCGATCATTATCAATAGATTAGAGCATTTTTGTTTAGGTACTATAAGCAATCGGCGCGTTCGATTCCAGGTTCAGGCCGTCTGATTTTCCAAATGGTAATTCGAGTAATAAAACAATACAAATAAAATAAAAGTCGCTCATAGTAAAACAATATATGTACAGTTAATTAATTATTATCTACATTAATTTCACTCTGTACAGCGGCATTATGAACTGAGTAACATAATATGTATTCGTTACATGATAAACGTGAAAAACGATTGTTTTAGTGAACTGCGCTAAGAGGTTAAATGTTAGTTATTACCCATCTCATTAATTTGGTCTGATAATTGAGCGTGTTATAAAGTTATAGTACATTTATTATTTACTTATGTGGTGGTAGTGTATGTTGCGACCCCTCACGGGTGAATACCACCGAGTCCATTTCTGCCTTTAAGCAATCGTGCGCTGCTATTTGAAGAGTTAGTAAGAGAACCGTTGACCAATGCAATTGAGACATATCTGAAACTGGGCAGTGGCATTAGTCTTGTGGTATCTATAGACTCCGGTACTCGTAGTTTATATCTATGTAGTAGTTAAAAGTTAATAACAATAGCCGCTTTTCACTAAATACTGAATATAAATTTCAATTTTTATATGACAATCTCTACTGTAAAACAAATAAATAATACCGAACGCTAGTTTTAATTTATTCTACGAACACGCAAAAGAAATTCTATCGTTTCATTTTTGCACCCAAACAGTGCCTTTTGTGTTAACAAGACAGAAAAAATTAAATTTCTTGAACGCCATATTGCACAGTCGTCCAGACAGGCTAAGGCCCATCGCGGACAGATTCAATTTAGATCAGAATGCAGTTTTAGACAATGTTTTATACGCAAGAGCCTACACGTCAGAGCATCAGGTATGGCGTACATTACTTTGATATTTTTTTATTAAGTATAAAAAGAATAATGCATTTTTTTTATTAAAATATATAAGTTGGAACCAATCAATGTAATAATACTTAATACGTACTAAAGTAAACGAATTTAGATATAACATAATCATGTTCATCGATTGTAATAAAGTAATAATATAATAAATAAATTTAGAGTCTTTGAATCGGCGGCCTAATAGAATCGGCACACTTGAAAAAAGAATTATAATTTTTAAAACAAGTTTATTGATGATTTAAATATCAGAATGTCACAACATTTATCTATACATATAAATAAAATTGGAGTGTCTGTTTGTAATATTGAAATAGCCTCTTTTTACTACATGCATATGAATATATATACGGTACATACACCAAAATAACATTTTATTACACAAAATATATTATACAATTTTAGTCTGTCTGTCTGTCTGTATGTTTGTTCCGGCTAATCTCTGGAACGGCTGGACCGATTTTGACGGGACTTTCACTGATAGGTAGCTGATGATATAAGGAATAACTTTTTTAGACTAGCTTCGCCCCGCGGCTTCACCCGCGGTACGACAATAATCGCGGGTAACATAGTCGATAATAAAATGTAATGTTTCCGAAGCGAAGCGAGGGCGGGTCGCTAGTTTTGGCATAAGATTGTAGTATAATACATAAACGTTTAACTTCTTATTATATCTGATCTCCTTGTGAACTGCTTCTGGCATAACGGCTATCAAAATATTTCAATAAATTTTAATGTTGTGCCAGGCTGAGCTTCTAGACTACGTAGCGGCAAAGTTTCACGAAGAGGCCGGCGTGTTCAAGCTGCTCATCATAGACTCCATCATGGCACTGTTCAGAGTAGACTTCTCAGGACGAGGCGAACTTGCCGACAGACAGCAAAAACTAGCGCAAGTGCTGTCACGTTTGCAAAAGGCGAGTAATTTTCCCGAAATCACTGCTTTGTTAATAATTTAACCAGAAGTTTCATTTAAATTATAAAACAGCTATCCCTCCATACCAGATTAACTGTACGCCCTACAATGAATAGAATAAATATTTCCTTTAAATATTTTCTGATGGTTGAATATCTTGATAGTCGGAATCGTCGTGGCCTATAGGATAAGACGTCCAGTGCATTCGTGTTGAGCGATACACCGGTGTTCGAATCCAAGGCAGGTACGAATTTTTCTAATGAAATACGTACTCAGCAAATGTTCACGATTGACTTCCACGGTGAAGGAATAACATCGTGTAATAAAAATGAAACCCGCAAAATTACTATTTGCGTAATTAGGTACTGGTGGTAGGAGATCTTGTGAGTCCGCGCGGGTAGGTAGATACTACCACCCCGCCTATTTCTGCCATGAAGCAGAATTGCCTTTCGGTTTGAAGGGTGGGGCAGCCGTTGTAACTATACTTGAGACCTTAGAACTTATATCTCAAGGTGGGTGGCGTATTTAAGTTGTAGACGTCTATGGGCTCCAGTAACCACTTAACACCAGGTGGGCTGTGAGCTCGTCCGCCCACTAGAGCAATAAAAAAAAAGTTAATTTTATCACTTTCCGTTATAAAAACTCAAATCGTTTTATTTTCATATAAATGCAAGTTTTTGGTTGTTGAATTATTTAGTGGATAAACCTATGTTATAAGGCAAACGAAGCAAGCAATTTAACACTATCTAATTCATATGGCTTAGACACAGCTGCACTAGAGCTAGGCCTATCATTGAGATCCAAGATTGAATTCACACAACGCAAGCACACGGTGCTGCAACATGCCTCCCCAACACTGTCAATGATATAACTGTAATACAAACATAACTTCGTACTGTCTATGGGATTCGTTAATCACTTAAAAAAAGGTGGCCACTAAACGCACTCTCGTCAGCTTTTAATCGTAAGAAGATTCAACTAGTGACCTTACTAGTTAAGCCTGTTCCATCCTACGCTCGTAATATAAAATATTTTATATTTTTGCACCGTTCGACATCACGTTTCGATGTGAGTGCTGCCATTTAATTTTAATGTAAAAACCGTGAGCTCGTCTGTCCTTGTCAGTTAGTAAAAACATGGTAAGCAGCGATACCACAGAAATACAAAATTTTGATTTATTTCTGCGAGCGAAACATATAATATTCTTCATGAGAACAGCGACTGTGATTGTTTCACATTTCTTGTGTAATTATGTTCTTATTGGTTGATGATTTGATTTTTTATTTGTCGTTGTTAATACAGTATTTTTAGAGAAACAACAACTTTGGTTGGTAAAAACTTGTATTTATTCCCATTAAGACGAGATCGTCCATTAGATTATTGGCCCCATCAGTTGCCTTAAGGCTACCAAATGGCGAGAGCTATTTGGTTTGAGTTTCTCTCCGTGATAAAATTAGAAAAGAAGAGCTTTCCTTTAGATTCAAAGCATCAGGCTTCAATTAAATTTGCTGAACTGAGTTTTAATATAAGGTCATAAAAGAGATCGATATTCTGAGATCGAAGAACTCAGCAGTAGTGACATGCCCAGGGAGGCGTGTAGCGAGTGTTTGTCTTTGACAAAATAGATAAAAAATTGTGAAAGTCGCGAGAATTCCATGAAAGTGGGCAGCACAGAACCGTGGATCGTTAGTTGCACATTTTTAAGGATCCCTACGTGCAGCAATAAACATTTGATGTTTGCTAATAATAAATAATTGTGAAATCGAAAAGACCTCAATGTAAAAGTCAAAACTCCGATATTCATGTAAAAAAATTAAAACACTTATTTCGCAAATTCCGAACACAAATAACTTATCAAAGTTCATGATCATTGGGTGACAGTAACGATAAATAAGCCGGATGTTCTACTAGGGGTTCTTGACACCACTTGAAATATAAACGAATTACATAAAAAAAATTTTTTTTACAACGATCAGCTTGCAGTAACAATGTCTCCAATGGAAGATTTGTCAAATATACTTATGTAATTTATTTACCGACGGTACCTTTGTCAAATATACTTGTGTAATTTATTTACCGACGTTACCCATATTTTTTGTCAGTAAAAGAGCTTGTGGCTCACTCGATGGTGCGAAATCAACATTTTCTAATGGACAACACAAATGCCCGTGGTTATAACCTCGACGCTACTCCGCATTGACGACTTTTTACAAACCTCGTTTGAAATTGTCATAGAGTTCGGGAATTACCGTAAGAGGTGTCCGTTCTAGAAGTGGATGATGCGGCGCAAAAATGCTCTCTTATTAATGTCGTTGATCCAGGTGGCTTAAAGTAGGGAGACGCTCCTGGTGCCGAGTAGGACGATGGTAAAATAATGATGATGATGAGATCATCTTAAATAATTCCTCAATGAAGTCACCACGAAACACATGGTACAAAATACAGAAAGAAGTAAGCTCTTAATTGTTAGGACAATCCAAGCGGCTCTTTCTTATTGAGTTTTTTTTTTGTTTTTTTTATTGCTTAGATGGGTGGACGAGCTTACAGCCCACCTGGTGTTAAGTGGTTACTGGAGCCGATGAAAATCTACAATGTAAATGCGCCACCCACCTTGAGATATAAGTTCTAAGGTCTCAGTATAGTTACAACGGCTACCCCATCCTTCAAACCGAAACGCATTACTGCTTCACGGCAGAAATAGGCGGGGTGGTGGTACCTAACCGTGCGAACTCACAAGAGGTACTACCACCAGTGATTACGCAAATAATAATTTTGCGGGTTTGATTTTTATTACACGATGTTATTCCTTCACCGTGGAAGTCAATCGTGAACATTTGTTAAGTACGTATTTCATTAGAAAAATTGGCACCCGCCTGCGGGATTCGAACACCGGTGCATCACTACATACGAATGCACCGGACGTCTTATCCTTTAGGCCACAACGACAATATAGTATAGAGTCACATGGACAAAGCTGATATATGGGAGCCCCAGCCTCGAGATGAAAGTCGTACTCCAGGCGAGTGCAGGACCTGTGCTTTGCAAAGCATAAATCTGTCCAGGCATGAACTACCGGCTTCTCAGTTGAGAGCTCCTAACATTTTAAAAACCAACTCGTCTTTACTCGTCGACTTCCATAATCCCTGGAATTGTAGCCCCATGACGAACGAGTCCTTCGCAAATAACGTACAAAACGTGTTGGTTTATATTGAACTAAATTACTAATTTAACCTATTCGTTCGGAATCTTTTTTTTATGTTTGAGAAGTTAGGCATTGGTGGCCCGGAGGCCTTTCCAGTTTTACCAGGGCAGGATTCGGAATCTGCCCAGAGTTCCCCACTTCAGACACAGGTTTTGGTTGCCCCATCATGCTGGGGATGAAAATCTGGTGGTCGGTATATGGCTAATCATGCGATCCTGAATACACTTCACCTTATCTATTTAATATTATAAAAATAATCTTATAAATTTGAAAGGTTGTATGTTTGTTAATCAATCTCGATCTGATGCTGCATTATAACGAAAGCTATAACTTGGGTTAAACTAGTATAATTTTTATCATGGTCAATGACATAACACGGTCGATACCGGGTATATCCGGCTATTATAAATACTACAATGTGTCCGTTAATTTAAATTCTAATTAATCCAAATTTAGACTGGTAGTTTATGGAGAGTTTTTCTGAATTAAAAACATAACGCGGGTGAAACCGCAGGGCATGTCTTCACGCCTTATGAATACATATATAAAAAATCACACATAATTTTTGGACACTGAAAGTACTAGAAAAATCGTTGTTGTTGTTGTTATCATTTAACTTTTAGAAAATATAATAATCTCTTTGATGCTTAGATATCGGAAGAATATAATGTAGCAGTCTTCATAACAAATCAAATGACTGCGGATCCAGGAGCGACTCTTACTTTTCAAGCTGATCCAAAGAAACCTATAGGAGGAAATATTTTAGCTCACGCATCAACCACAAGAATATCACTAAGAAAAGGGCGAGGAGACAACAGAATCGCAAAGATATATGATTCACCAGATTTACCTGAGAGCGAAGCTACATTTGCTATTACGAACGGAGGTGTTGCCGATGCAAAAGATTAATAAATAATTTAATATTCATATGCTGTGTTTGTTTAGTTTTAGTGAAATAAATCAGTCAACGGCCTACAAATTAGTGGTGTGAAACAGATAGTATTATAGATAACCCTAATGTATTAATATACCACGCTATAGCACAATTGTCTGGCAGATAGTCATTCATCCTATACAGGCGACAAAGTCCAAACATTCGTCACTCAGTGGCGTGATTCAAACGAGCCAATTAAATTCCTCGGCGAATTGATTAGATATCAGACCACGTTTTCTTAATGTAGGAACTTGTAATAATGTTTAATAATATCTTAAACTAAGTACTTACTTTATTAAATTTTTCGAGGAAAATCATTTTCGGTACCTAAGTTGAAGGGAAGTCATATTTTTCGATCATGTAATTAATTCTGTGTATATTTCGCTATTTATCGTATTTTCGTTATTTAGCGGTATTTTGAGTTTGGCCTTACAAACCATAAAAAAAAGCAGCAAAATAATATTTCTGCTGCAAATAATTGAGTTTCGAACACTACTGTTTTCGGATATGTTTTTTTTTTTAAAGGAATACACATAGAAAAATTCTAAAAACATTAAATACAGTACTTTATGATTTGACTACACCCTTTGACCCTTTTTATTACCTAATTACACAACAATGTTTCCCGTTAAAATAAAATATGCACGTCCTAACTATGGCGTGTGCGATACTATACATAATATGCAAATAAATACACTTGTAGGCAGGACATTTTGTAGGCAGCGGCTTGGCTCTGCCCCTGGAATTGCTGACGTCCATGAACGACGGTAGCCACTCACCATCAGGTGATATGCTGGGCCATATGCTCGTCTGCCTATAAGGGCAATAAAAAATAAGGAAATGAGGAAACGGATAATAGAAATAAAAATAAATGTTTCAAATATTATTAGTTTATTTTTGTTATAAAATTTTAGAAAATTTCGGTTTTGATAAACAAGAAAATTGTTCTGTTTTATAGCAATATGAACGTGAATGTATCTTTTTTTTCTTCTATGTTCGTATTCTTCCTTCTAATTTCATTTGGGGATGTCTCGTTGTTATTACGTAGAGTAATCACCGTGCTTATCGGACGATGGTGGTCCCGCGGAATGGCTGTGTGTGGGCGTGCACGAACGGGTCGGGCGGGAGTGTTACGTGTTTCTGACCTGGCAGGCTGCTTGTGGCTCAGTGGGGTAACCAGCACACCGGCGGCAACGTCGAGGCGGCTGCCTCGAGTCTGATATTGAGTCGTGTACTGTCTCCACGACGATTCCGCCTTGTTCTAAATATTGACCATGGGATTCCCCTACCTACCCTAACCCGAGCTCCGTCTGAGCCGAGGATCGGAGGTCGGGAGAGAGTGATCTATAGGGTTTAGTCGGTAATTGCCGTGGAGTCCAACGTAACCCTGCTTGATTCCCATCGGCCGGGTAGCCGTAAATTGGATTTCCCAACGTAGTAAAGCAACACTGACAATGGTTCCGAAGCGGGTCGAGATCGACGGTAAGCACAACTGTACTCTTCGAGAGGGGATCTCTGTTTGAATTCTCAGTCCATATCTTGGACTCTAAAAAGTCAAATACCTGGGAGTCATCCTTGATATACCCAAGGCTTTCCGCCCCCACATAAAATCTACTGGCAGATTCTACCTCATGAAGCGCAGTAAGCTGTCCTTTCACAGGAAGGTAGCACTTTACAAAACTTGCATCCATCCCGTATTGAGCTGATGCGAGTATGATATGCTCCACCACGGTCCACCCTAGATAAATTCTCTCTATAGATTCTATAATCTAGAACTTGCTTGATAGCCATCGATGCGCCTTGTCGTGAAGAACGACGATCTTCACCACAGTCCAACAGCTGCTGTTTATAAAAGTGATTGAGTAATGGAATTATAGTATAGTCTTTGGTTTTCGCGATTCATAGACATAATTAAAAATACTTAAAAGTATTCAAATCGTTGGGAAGAAAATAATCACGATAAAAAACAAGAGATTAAATCGTAAAAGTACTTTTAATATGGCAACTATATATATATTAACTATTTATATTATATTTGTTATGAGAGGGTTGGTGGTAGGGTGTCTCGTAAACCAGCATGGGTGGGTATTACCACCCTCCTTATTTCTCCAATGAAGCAGTAATGCGTTTCGGCTCGAAGGGTGCGCCAGCCGTTGTACTATAAATTAGGACTTGGAACTCATATCTCAAGGTATGTAGTTGTCGGCATTTACCTTGTTAATGTCTATGGGCTTCGGTAACCAGCTAGCATCAAGTGGGCCGTGAGTTCGTCTACACAACCTAGCAAAAAAGAAAAAAGAAAATAAACGATAACTTTTATTATTACTATTCGTATTGCATGATTTCTTGGCCTATTTGCGTGTAGAGTATGTAGACGATTTATCCACATTAAAAAGTGTCCGCAAAAATGTATATCGCTTTAGTAGCGCAAGTGCCAGATTATATGGGCTTCCTAATTTTTACAAAACCAAATACAAGGATAAACGACCCTTATGTTTTAATTTATTACGGTATTAGTACCTACCGTACATATTTACTTTATGTAATACTGTCTAACGAAATGTCAAAATTGTCTAAGTCAGTTTGACTTTTACGTAGTGTCACATATTTCCTCTTACTTTATTCAAAATTATTTAAATATTTTAGTCAGCAAATGAATGCGCAGAAGGCTTGATGTGCAAAAAGTACAAAATTGAAATCACGACATAATTAATTTAAAATAAAAATTTTAACCGAACACATTATAATCTAAAAATCCACGTTTAAGATGAGTGATAAAAATCACGAAAAAAAGCAAGTCCGAGTTTGGTGCGATGGATGGTGAGTAAAATAGCCGGAAGTTTGAATTTGAAATATTTTCAATGTCATTCAAAATTAACATAGAATTAATCTATTTACCGGAATTCGTAAGGTAAAACATAAAATCAATTTACAATACTCTATTAGTTTATCCGGCGCGGTATAATTTACAAACTTGATGTTTTTATGTAACAATCGCGGTGGTTAGCTGTTTCAGTGTAATGTATTGATTTTTCCAGTTACGATATGGTTCATTTCGGTCACGCAAATTCTTTACGTCAAGCGAAAGCCCTTGGAGATGTTTTAATTGTTGGAGTGCATACAGATGAAGAAATATCAAAACACAAAGGGCCCCCTGTTTTTACACAAGAAGAGCGTTACAAGATGGTTAAAGCTATTAAATGGGTAGATCAAGTTGTAGAAGGTGCTCCTTATGTGACTACTTTGGAGACACTGGACAAGTATCAATGTGATTTTTGTGTACACGGAGGTGAGTTTCAGAATGTGTCATTTCTAAATTCAAATAAGTATCTAACACTGGCCAGGATTCACTTATATTAAAGTTTCTAATTTTCAAATAATAATATGGCAAAGGTCAAGAGAACTTCAATTGCTGATTTTCAAGAATATTCCAGTCATAAAATGTAGTGAAATCAGTTATGAATCACAAATAAGATCTGTCTCTACATTTTTCAGATGACATAACGGTTACTGCTGATGGGATTGACACATATCATTTAGTGAAAAAAGCTGGCAGATACAAGTAAATAATAAATTATATACTCTTTTCATCATTAAAATTAAATTTTTAAATAGGAAGTGTTCATCAATAATGTGTCTTTTAACAACTAAAATAATCACATTATGTATCAAATCATAATAATTAAGTAATGTTGTGACACACATTATGTTATCACATTTTTATACCTCATCAATAACTGATAGTATTATTATTTATTGCAAAAAGAATCTAAGAAATAATCATTAAGATATGTTTTATAGATATATAAAACTTGACATATATATGAATGTATACTATTTAAAAAATAACTTTTTATGTCTGTTCTACTTTTTCGTGAATGATTCATTAAATTGCAACTTTTCTAATTATTATTGACATTTTGGGGAAAATTCATGGCCTAGTACCATAAATGTATGTGAAATGTTGATCTCATTAACAGATGTTTCTATTTTAAATATTTAGAAATAGTCACAAAACGGTGGCTAGGGTTCACTAGTAATAAATAAAATGAAACAACTATGAAATAGACATTGTTTTGTTTAAAGGGAAGTACAGAGGACAGCTGGTGTATCTACAACGGACTTAGTTGGGAGAATGTTATTACTCACTAGAGAACATTTTAAGTAAGTTAGCACACTATTAACTGATTTTCTGAATAAACCAACAGTTGCTACTTAATGATGTAAGTCCAACTTCAGTAATATGTTGATTATGAATGCTTCTGTTGTGCTTATAGTGTGAGGTACAAAGTTTTTACTTACTTTTTATCATTTTGATCTCTATGAACTCTAGTAAACAATTAACAATAGGTTCGCCAAGAGCTTAATAAAAAGAAATGTACTTTGCATGTTTGCACTTTGTCATTGTCATATACCCTTTTTTGAATACTGCAGCCCTCTTATACATTAAACTATGAACAAATTCAACCCAACTGTTCCAATGCTTTCTCTGGTTTATGACAAAAGTTTCCACTGCTTTTTTTAAATGATATGTCAAAAGAACTAATATATAACTATAGATAATAATGTTGTACATCACAAATAATTCAAATAGTGTATTTTTAACAGAATATAAAATGCAAAACTGAATTATGGTATTCGAATGTATCAATGATTTTAAAATATAATTATATAATTCATTGATTCATATTTACTTGTATACTACACTTTAACCATAGTATATTACAAATTTTAAATGGTTGGCAATCTTGTTACAGGAGAGGTGAGAAAGAATATTCAGTAGCTTTAGAGCATTCATCGAATCTTGGAACAGATTCAACAGCCAGATCCCCTTACACAGGCTGCTCCCAGTTCCTGCCTACAACACAGAAGATCATACAATTCAGTAGTGGACTCTCCCCTAAACCTACCGACAAGGTATAAACATCCATAATATTTAAAGAATGAAACAAGTTTTTTTATATTTCATTTGTTGTCTTATTTCTTGGCTTAATTAAACAAGTTTCGATTCATTGTAACAGCAAACTCGATTACAGCGTAAATGCATTTTTCTCCTACCTACGCCGAAAGTTCGGTTTTCCTCCCGCTGTACAGGGAAGAAAGTCTAACTTTTCCTCCCTGGGTACTGACAAGTGCGCGTGCGCGTTATTGTCTACATCTGCTCTCACGCACTTAAAATTCTCCGCCATTGTTGTGCTCGGGTAATTTGCAATATTGCACTTAGTGTAAAAGTGCAATAAACAAAAGGCAATAAAATTTAATAGTGAAGTATTAAACAAAGATGAGTTCATCAGACAGCTCCAATTCAATTAGTTATTAGTTTATTTAAAAAAGGTTAAATTGTTTTGTTTTGAAGGGGGAGGGGGGGCTCCGCCTCCCCCAACCCTGGCCAGGGCTTCGCCCCTGGACCCCACCTAGGTACTCCACGAACTTTCGGCCTGGTAGGAGAAAAAATAGTATGTGCACCGCGGGAGAAAAGTAGGATCATACATTACATCCCGCGTGTAAAATTGGCAAACACTTTCTACTATCCTACATTTCTCCCTGTGCATTGATTTTCAAACAAAAACATTATGATAATGATAAAATATTCGATTCTACCATAACAATTCAAAGCGAGAACCGTACGGACTGTGCTTTTGCCGAAGAAAGTTTGTGCGAAGAACCTCGAACTTAGTTTAATGTATCAACCTTCTCATTGTTCAAATGGCCGTAACCGAATGTACGGATCATTATGTACCGGATGATCGTGGTGAGGCTGAACCTTAAAAAACATTTAATTTGTAGTAGAAAAATAATAATAATGCCGTAGTTTCTTTTGTGCTTTTATTTAATTTGCTCATAAACCCGCGCTCACACATCTGCAAGATAATGCAAAAACACTTAGAGACAAATTTAGTGAAACGCAAAAAAGCGTGTGTGTGTGTGTGTGTCGGTGTAATAAACAAAATTTGTAGTGATTTGTAATAATTAAATGTATCAAGTAAAATATTGTGTGCTATATTTAATTTAAGATCAAATTTTTGTCATAAATGCTTAGGACAGCTATTATGAATACTTAGTGTGGCCCCGTCGAACACCTTGGCATACCGGCAATGAAAGTATCAAAAATATTTTCACTGGTGGTAGGACCTCCTGTGAGTCCGCGCGGGTAGGTACCACAACCATGCCTATGCCGTGAAGCAGTAATGCGTTTCGGTTTGAAGGGTGGGGCAGCCGTTGTAACTATACTTGAAGACCTTAGAACTTATATCTCAAGGTGGGTGGCGCATTTACGTTGTAGATGTCTATGGGCTCCAGTAACCACTTAACACCAAGTGGGCGCTCGTCCAACCATGTAAGCAATAAAAAAAAAATTGAATACGAACTGAGAATCGTTCTTGTACTGAACAAGAATCTTAATGTAATTCAAATAAAACACACTCATTCTTTATTCTCGAAGGTCGTATATGTTGCCGGTGCCTACGATCTCTTCCACGTGGGTCATTTGGATTTTCTGGAGGCAGCTCATAAACAAGGAGATTTCCTCATCGTTGGTCTGCACACAGACTTAGAAGTAAATCGCTACAAGGGATCCAACTACCCAATCATGAACTTGCACGAAAGGGTATTATCGGTGTTGGCTTGCAAAGTAAGTTTTTTATTGAATGAAAATATTTACTTCAACTCATAATATACAGTGTGTAAGCGAAACTGATAAGAAAACATCTCTTTTTTTTCCTACCTAAGCTGAAAGCCTTGAGAGGCTATATCAGCGTCGCCTTAATTAGTAGGTGAGCTCACGGGGCTCAAACCTGATGACGTTACTAACACGAACCCTAGCTAGCCGTGCTTCGCAGAATCTACCACCGGATCGGAAACGCGACCCACTGAGAAGATCGGCGAGAAACTCAGTGGGCTGTGTCTGAGGGTTAATTTACTTGACGAGCCCTTTGTCGCAAGCGACGGGCTCGACGAGAACGATGACCGGTGCTTGAGGTACCTAAAAGCACCGTTAGTGGATCGGGAGGATCCGAAATGACGTGTTTGGGGCGACGTCGACTGCTCCATTCCAGTCCATTCTGTCCGCAGGATCGGGAACGTAGTTACCGGCGGCAACGATGAGAGGGTTCTCGTGTCGTGCCGCTTTATCAAAGTGAATCTCTCCATTATGCCTAAAGTCGGAATTGTATGCTGCACTAGAACTAGAACCTTTTTACATTAAACTATTGTTATTATTTTTAGTACGTGCATGAAGTTGTGATCGGTGCTCCGTACAGCGTGACCGCGGAACTGATGGACCATTTCCGAGTGAAGGTCGTCTGTCATGGTCTCACGCCCATCGCACCGGACGCGGACGGCGCAGACCCCTACAAGGTGCCTAAACAACGGGCCTGCTTCAAGGTAAGCCCTCGTCTCATTCGATTAGGTCACGAACTGTCCACGTGATCCGAAGAACTACTGCAACCCAAGGAAATTATCTCTATAACTCAGTACAAACAGTAGTTCTACTTTTTTTATATTGCATAGATTGGAAGAGCCCACAGCCCACCTGGTGTTCAGCGGTTACTGGGGCCCATAGACATATATAAGGTAGACGCGCCACCCACCTTGAGATACAAGTTCTAAGGTCTCAGCATAATTGCAACGGCTGCCCCACCCTTCAAACCGAAACGCATTACAGCTTCGCGGCAGAAATAGGCAGGGTCGTGGTACCTACCCGTTCGGACTCTCAAGAGGTCCAGTAAATAGAGCCCAGTAAATATAAAAAAAATGGTAAGGTAAAGGAATGTGGTTTTCCTTAATTTTGTTTTAAAGTTTCCGCATCAAATACAAACGTCACCACGTTGTTTGTTCGCGTATTTCCAGATCCTGAACTCGGGGAATACGATGACGACAGAAGACATTGTCCAACGGATAATACGTCATCGACTTGAATTCGAAGTGAGAAATTCTCGTAAAGAAAAGAAAGAGCTTGCCATGATGAAAGGATTCAAGAATAACCACAAAACTGCGGAAAAATCACAGAATGGAGACTGCGCCATCGAAAATTCCAGTTAAAAAATAACAGATCTTGAAATTCACTTATTCTTGTGTAAGTTATGTTTTAAATTCAACTGTAATAAATGGATCAGCATTAGTTTTTATTAAAAATATTTTTCAATCAAATTACGTTACGGGACTTTACGGTTAAACGGTTGGTTCGGTGGTTGAAATCACAGTTATAAATGGTTTAAATTAGTTAAATATTAATGTGCCATAATTACGTGGTCCAATAATTTTTTCTATATAATATATTTCATTATAAGTTGTATTGGTTTTAAAAACAATCTCGGTAAATGTTTAAACTTTATAAACACTCCGCCTGTGTATAAAATGAAAACTGCTGTGGATGTATCTGAAAATATTTTGTAAAGACATAAAGTGTAGAAATTATTTGTATCTATATCTTACTTTTTCATCGCATGATCGTTTCAGTCATAGCTTATTCTATATTATAAATCAAAATGTTCTCAAACTTGTAATTGAATATTTAGTTCAGTTTATTTATTTGCTGATAATGATAATAGCATTGCCTGTGTTAGGAATTCGACTAATTTGTAACGAAAAAACATGTGTGTTTTAATTTTATTCGCCCAAACAGTTATTATTATACAACAGTTTTTGGGGCATATTTATAGCACCTTTTGCTTAAATATTAATTCTTCTCTCGTTATACAGGGTGATTTTTTATGATTCCCAAGATTATTAAGGTGATTGGATTTTCTACGATTGATGTGGAGCACTAGTGCTAGTCACGATTAAAGGATTTCTTTAATAACTTTATCATAACTTTATAAATAACTTTATAGGCATCTTCTATAACTTTATAAAACAGTTATGAAAAATAACATTGAATCACATTTAAATTCATCCATTGTACCCTACTTGGACTTTATAATTTGACGGCTATGTTTTCCTAAATAGAGTTTGAACCTCTGTAGATGTACGAATATGGAGATGGCATTTATAAAGTATAGACAGTAAATGCCAAAACAATATGTAGCCAACATAATTCTGAAATGTCAAATAAATTCTTATTGAATCTTGTTAAAGGCCAAACTTAAACATTGGGGCAAGGGCGTCTCCCTTGTCACGAAATGAATAGAGTATATACCCCAATTGTTTTAAAATTTTGAATAGGAAAAGACAATGATCCATGAAAGTTTATTGTCAGTCATCTATGCACTTAGGAAAAATTGCCTAAAAAGATTAATTTACCATTGAAAATTCACCCTGCACTTAATAATACTCAAATTATCCTAAATAAAATATGTTGTTTGACCAAATATAAAGCCGTGCAAATTCCAGCTGGTTATGGAGTATGCTGTAGTTTTAGTTTTTAATTCTACTCACATTCTCAATTCAGAAATTTTTGCAGTTTCGCATCGTAGATTCAAACTGCAAAAATGTAACTGTGTCGGAAATGTTATTCGAGGCGAACACGATAAGGGAAGAGTGGGTTATCGTGTCGCTAATACTATAGGAACTGCATTTACCTTGTTAAAAAATGTTTAGTGATTTGATATGTGAATCATAGTAAATGATAGCTATTGCTTATACATATTTCTTAATTATTATGAATTTAAACTATTTCTAACTATATGTAATACGTGTTTTCGTTTTATTATAAATGTTTGTACATGTTTTATTATTTAATGTTTAATTGTTGATTATATTTTAAATACGGACTATTAAGATATTTTTACTATCAATAAAAATAATATTTTAGGAAGATATATCTATCTTACAACTTAAGTTGTCATTTGCAATTTTATTTAGTCAATCTACAAACTTGTAGGCCAGAATAATATTATAATATAATATTACTAGAAATCAAACGTGGTTTATTTTTAATATTATCCGCATCTGGTAGAATTATCGTGTTACAAAACTTATAAAGCATTTCGAACTCTCTCTATGTTTCTCTGTCTCTCTCTCTCTCTCTTTCTCTCTCTCATTCTATTATTTTGAAAAAGAAAACAAAACAACGAAGTGGTGTCTTAGTAAAAATGTTTGGAAATATTGTAACAATAAAATAAACTCACGTTTGTCATGACATTCCGCTTCATGTAGTTTTACATCTCGTTTCAGATTAGCTCATGTTTTTTTAAATTAAATACTAAATACTCTATTATAATTTATATTTAGTAATTAAATTAATATTCATAGATCCAAAGATTGAAAAAGATATGTATAATTAAATACTGTTATTATTTATTAATATCGCCGAAAACTTTAATTGAAACTTCAAATGAAGTACCTAATTTTTATTTATTCAATTCCAATAAATTGAACTGGTGTGTCTATAAATTGTTTTAATTGTTCGCGCCCTAAGTTCAAATATGTTAAAGATTGGATAGTTTGTGTTTTAACGCACGTGTTTGTTTGATTGGTCCATTGAGTCTTTTTGGGGGGCCCAGGTGAGGAGTGAAGTGCGTGAATGGTTTTATTTTGTTTTGTTAATGTTTCTTTAGGATTAAATGTGTAATAACGGTAGATTATTAATTGTTAAACATCTGTGAAACTGCACAAATGTGGAAAAATGAAGCAAAGCTAATGGACGTGGCTTATCAGATTTTTCAAAGGAGTCCATTGAATTCAGTAAACAACTATTTTACTGAGAACCAATTCAACTTATCTCGTTTCATTTAATTTTATTCCAATTGTGTAAAATTCCACACTAATGGACTTCATCTCATTTTGCTTATTATTATTTTTCTTTTCACAGACTCATATGTGCTTATTTATTATATACTAGCTGACCCGGCAGACTTCGTAATGCCTCAATCGATAAATAAAAGACCTAAACTTTTGTATAAAATAAACTTAAAACAAACAAAAGGAATCCGTTCGACGGGGGGGAGGGGGGGGGGCACATCAAAGGGAAACATCAAAATTGTTATTTTTCTTTATTTCCGGGCATTTTCATATTCATCTACCTTTTAGACCTTCCCTGGATTTTCACGAATAATTCAAGACCAAAATTAGCCAAATCGGCCCAGCCGTTCTCGAGTTTTAGCGAGACTAACGAACAGTAATTCATTTTTATATATATAGATTTTNTCCGACGGGGGGCACATCAAAGGGAAACATCAAAATTGTTATTTTTCTTTATTTCCGGGCATTTTCATATTCATCTACCTTTTAGACCTTCCCTGGATTTTCACGAATAATTCAAGACCAAAATTAGCCAAATCGGCCCAGCCGTTCTCGAGTTTTAGCGAGACTAACGAACAGTAATTCATTTTTATATATATAGATTTTGCAGAATTTTATAAACAATGGCATCGTTACAAGTCATAAATATTAAGTAATAATATAATAAATAATAATCTATGTTTAGAAGCCCATGGCTATAATAAAACTTATACATAAAACATGGAGGATAGACCTAAGGAGCAACGCCTTGAGAGGCTATTTCAGCGCAACCTTAACTAGTAGGTGAGCTCACGGGGCTCAAACCTGACGACGTTGCTAACACGAACCACCACCCACCCACTGAGAATAATGTGTGCATAACCTCTTTTCAATTCAATAATAATAATAAAAGGCGTAGGGAAGTGGTGACCCCACCGCCTAAGGATGAAACAACCAATATGAGATGGTTGTTCCATCTGCTAACTTATACTATACTGCGTTTTGTTTTAAACAGTGACCAATATAGCTAACACTGGTCACTCGCATGCGCACGAATACGCAAACCCGCAAGTGTAGGACGACATTTGCGAATGATTATGCAAAGTTTTCGCTGCATTCGTGGTTTTCCAAGCTGCGTCGGTTTTTTAACAGATATCAAAGCGCGCGAACCTCAAACCTTCGCGTAGTCTCCCACACATTCGCTTGCCCAGTTGCGCCGACGATTGCGAAGGTAACGGACGTATCGCCATTTTCATAGTTCGTGACGTCTACTGTGTAGCGTATCTTCATCAAAAGAAATCCCATAAAAACAGCATGGCTGTTAATGATATCTGGGAAAGAATTCAAAACTCTTTTTCTTTTCAATGTTCTATTGAAGAATTAAAAAGGAGGAGAAATTCGTGAGACATTCGTAAACAAGTGTAGGAGGAAGCGCAAATGGGTTCGCAAATTGAGTATGCGAACCCATTTGCACAGCCGCTAGGTTTGCGAATGAATGTTTGACGGCCCTTCACATGCGCGCAAACATTCGTACAATGTACGAATATTTGCGCGCATGTCAGTGGCCGGCATTAGTGTTGGCTATGATTGGACCATACTAATTTGAAATAATGGTCTTATTTTTCGGGCCGTTTTTGAAGCGCTAATCGGGAATCCAGTAGTATTATTGATCGAAGTTATTACTGCATATCATAGATTAATCACTTAATATATTTGGTGCATATCGGAACATAGCCAAAGTGTGGTAGCTTAGGGTGCTTTTTTAAAAATCCTAGCTGCTACTAGACTATGGCGCCATCTTAATTGGCCCCTTTTCAGTGGACACTTTTGGTGCTCTTTCTACTCTACTTAATTAAAAAAAGATTAATTGAACAGGCAAAGAAAACGTGGCCCATACAGCCAAAGTTCACTAAAGTAAAATACTAAATAAATAAATAAGTAAAATACTAGGATACTATGTGAATCTAAGTACATTATGTGTGAACGAAATTTATATGCGTTCTTTGTTGGAGAATGCAAATCTGTACTGACAGCCATGTAACCATTTTTTTTAAATGTTTGTACGTTTTAAAGGATAAAAAAAATAATTTAAATCACAAAAAGATCATTAACAAAATCATTTATATTAACCATGACTATTATTTGTGCTAATTCGTTTCAAGAATTATGATGTTGATCAAGGAATAAAGCAGGTATAAGAGTAAACATTAGTGACAAACATTTCTAGTATTTCCGTGATAACACAATAATAGAAAATGGTGTTTAAGCTAATGGCAACACTTGAAACTCAATATGGCAGAAAAGTCAAAAGATGGTTAATAAATATATTTATTTAGTAAGTTTACGATATTAAAAAATATAGTGACGTGGTGTAACGGAATTAATAAGTATTTGCTTATATCATTGTCCACGTGTTTTGTTTTACTGGAAAGCTTGAAAGGAACTTTACCACAGATCTCAAAGGTAGGATTTAAAACCGCCTACAAAATCAAACCTGATTCGTTTTTGTGTTAAAATATAAAAAAAATGGTTAAAATTAATTACCGTCCTCATATAGATGATTTAGAAAGCTTGTAAATATATTGTTGAATCCGGCAAGTTAATGCTGTGTTTAGTTTTAAATAATTTTTATGATGTCTTTTTGTTCAGTCACGTATTTTCTTTGCAAAAACTACGCATAACATGCTCATGATAAAGTTGCACTCAATACATTAAAAAGTCTTTGGCAGAATTTTTATTGCCATTTATTAGGTGAACAGGTACTAAAATTAAAGGTTGCGGCTACTGCAAAAAAAGTGATAAACATAGTTTCTCAGAGGTCAGTTACATTGTATGGATAAATAATAATATTATCATTTAATTTGATGGCTGTGTTTGAAATATTGGTTTCATGAACCAATTTGTCTATTTTTGTAATAGTTGCAATTGGGTTGGGAAAATTTAATCAACTATGAACATTTTATAATCTGTGTGTTATTAGAGTTCTGCTGTTTTATGAGAGTACTAGATACCGCGATAAGTATTTCTGATATATTTTTTAAATAAAAAAAAATGAAAGTAAGTAAATCTTTGCTAAACAGTCCCATAAAAGTCAGTCAGTTACAACTAAACATTACCAATTGTCTAAAAGACAAGTTTCTCACTTTACAGTTGTTGAAAATTAAATATGGTAGGTATAAAAAATGTCAAAGGCCTATAATAACCTTTACTTATCAATGAAAGTCTGTAATACCAGACACAAAGATAAATAGCAATTTTACTTTTATTCATATTTAGACAAAGATATATAATAGTAAAAGAACATAGCTTAGTAATAATAATGTACATAATTAAGGGAATTAAGTAGAAATTCAATTGAGACTAAACTAAATTTTTGTGCAAAAGCAAGTATGCTTTTACGAGACATCACCTTTACCAAATATAAAAACCAGTGAACATTAAGAACTAAGTACCTGTATATAAAAGATAGTAGTTATAATGTGATCATTGAAGATGTTACACCTAAAATATATATAAAATGGTGCTTTGGTATATAAAATGATTCTTGACAACCTGATGGTTGTTTGGAAGCGATGACTTAGCAGTAAGACTACCCATTGTATATAATAAAGTGTTCTCTCTCTCTCTTTCTCTCTCTCTCTTCAGGCACACCAACTAATGAGTACATTAGGTGGGCTAAAATTAATAACAAATAGTGCAAGCAACACAGTGACCTAACTATAATAAAATGAGTAAAAAGTGAGCATTGTATAGTGCTCAAAGTGCCGCAAAGTGAGCAAAGTGCCATTTGATATAAATTAATAAAGTTAAAAATATAATAAAAAAATAACTTTTTGTGGTTTAGGACTACTCAGGGTAGTTGTAGCATTTGTGCATAGTTTAAGATTTGATCCATCTTCTGATGCCTCACTATCTCTCTTTGCTTTTGGTTTTTGTGTGTTTCATAATTTAAAATGACATTAAAGTTGGAAACTATATGTTCCACAATGCATTCCAGCTTAAGGCCTTTGTAACTATTTTTTACAATAAAATAATTCAGAATACAAATCTTCACAAAAATCAGTTTTTAGTCTATAAAAGTTCATATACATTTAATATAATTATCATATAAATTTGCTTAAATGTGGGCATAATTTTAATTTTATTTTCAATTATAGTTCAGTTTATTAATAATGATTACCTTATTTTATTTTACCTTATTTTACCAAAAAAATGTATTCAAGACGATATGTTTAAAGTATAACAGTATTTTCAAGCTCACGGTTCATCATTTGTCAAGAGGCTCTCAGAGATCTACTGAATGCTGTTGTCCCTCTTGAGCTTTGAAGTCAAAATTTCTATGGGCTTAGAATGATGGCTCAATCTTACAATTTAAATTCTAATTAGCAAACTAGACAAAAAATAAATACATATATGCAATCACTAAATGTGCCCTTTGTGAGATTCTATTTTTAAAGCCAAATAAGATCAATTCATATGGCATCACAGGTTGATGAAGTGTCGTGGTAAAATAATAATAAAGATATTCATTGGAACTTGTTCGTTCAGAGGGCTGCAATATTGCGTAGGCTTTAAACGTAGCAAGCACGAGGCTGATATGCGCGGGCGCCGGTTGGTGCGGGTAGTATTGAGCTATGATTCACGCCCGCCCAAAATAACCCGAGAATGGGCGCCGCCTATCGGCGGGCGGGCGGCAAGCTGGTCAGGCTCAGTGGCAGCCGCGACGCCGCCGCTTGTAGAGGAGCGGTCGAGGTGGAGCGTGCGAGTCCCGTACTGACGCACGGCTGGAGGCGGCGCCGGCGCGGGATGCGCCGCCATGCCGGTACGACACCGCGAACTCGGCGAAGAGCTCGCACCCCCGGAGCCCAAGCGCTGCAGGCACTGCGACGGTACGGCATAATCATGTTTTGCAGTGCATAGGATTATATTAATCACTAACTTAATTNTAGAGGAGCGGTCGAGGTGGAGCGTGCGAGTCCCGTACTGACGCACGGCTGGAGGCGGCGCCGGCGCGGGATGCGCCGCCATGCCGGTACGACACCGCGAACTCGGCGAAGAGCTCGCACCCCCGGAGCCCAAGCGCTGCAGGCACTGCGACGGTACGGCATAATCATGTTTTGCAGTGCATAGGATTATATTAATCACTAACTTAATTGGCTGTTAACTTTAATTCTTGCTGTTATTTTGGTGTGAACTGAGGATGTTTTCGACGTAATTTTGTCTCTATGTACATCTTATTCGAACAATAACCAATAGTATAATAAAGATAGTCATTGCAACCAATTGAAAAGTATTTTTAGTTGAAATTTCACTTTCTATAAGATTAAAATAGCAAAATAAAACTTTTAATTTAATTAAAATTTTATATTAAAAGATAGCACAGGTAGACAAAATACTTTTATTCTGTTAAGAGAAAAATGTTATTTTATTGAAATTTCACAGATATAATACTAAGGCCGTCGTTTTCTAATTAGGCTTTAACTAAACAAATAAAAACTCAAATATTAATTAAATTATGAATCTGAAGTTGCGTTTTCGAATATCTTACTATGTACATGCAATTTAACTATTAAAACTACTCGTTTTTTTTAAAAATTGTAAAGTATATAACAGTTTAAAAAAATATTCGTCCTTCGTACATGGAGTAGGTGCCATCAACAATGTGTGTCACAACGTTGAGAATGGAAAATGCATATAAATAGTGTTCTCGCCCAACTGGGCCACATTCTCAACCTTATGTAACTGGAAGCTCATAAACAACACACGTCGAATGTTTTACGTTCGCAGATTTGACTCCTTGTCCTCTTGCATAATTTCGGAGATATTTTAACGAGTCTTCGGAGATTACAAGATAATCCGAGGTGTTATTTTAATGTTACATTATATCATTTAAATACTGTTTAATTTGTGTAACTATGATTCACGGTACTATTATGATCCTATATTTGTTGGCGTTATTAGTCAGTGTTGGTAAAAAGAGTCACAGAGATTTAACGTAGCATTTAGTTTGTTGGGCCGTCAGAACCTGCAGACAGTGTTGTGACACGTGTGGCGTCACCTGACGCGGCCTGGCCAGACTTCTGGGACGGATTAATTGGTATTGCTCGTCGAGACACTACGTTGAGACGCTATGGATGAAATCATCGATGTTCACAATAGTAGCGAAGCAAAGAAACAATTTAATTAATAATATATAGTATATAGGTACTAGCACATTGGTTGCTGAGTGCTAATGAAGCTTCTTTAAGGGTATATAGACGGATTAGCGTTTTTATAATGTAGTAGATTTGACATTTTTAAATTTTCTAACTAAACGAAGGCTTTCTTTATGAAATCTTTTTTATCCAGAGTAATAGTAAATATTACAATATGTATAGTAAGTACACTTATAATAATTAACTTTTTTGAAAGGAAAAGTATCTTGGCAATCTCTTTTGACCTCGGCGCATTATGTATGAATGTAGGGCGAATATAATATCTTATTAAATTTATTCTAAGTCCTAACATATAGTGATTTAGGCGCTTTGTTGTATGTTGATGGTCAATTGAAGTGGTTTTTATCCATATCGAGTAAAACGTTAATTGTATACATTATGTAAAATAATAAAAATATGCCCTGAGAGAATATGATTTACTTAATGTTGCATTGTACTCTGAAAAATACAATTCATTTATAGTTGTGGTTAAAATATACCCGTTATTTGAATGAAACCAACTTCAATCACCTGTCTTGAATAATGATGGCAACGGCATAAAAAAAATTTTCAAACAAAAACTGGCATCGGTTTTAAAACTAAACTCTACGTACGATTGCTTGCACATTTGCCGCCGCCAAATAATAAGATACTTATGGCAAAAGCCACATACTAATTAAAAAATCGTAAAAATACATTTTTTTAGCTTAGTGCAGAAAAACGTAGAGAAATCTTGTCATTGAAGATTGTTTTTGACTAATAAAAATACTAACTAAAGCAGGTTATTTTTGCTACATTCCTTAACACTGCCCACACTAGAAAGAAAATAATACCTGTCGACTCGCGTATTATGTAGCAAAATAACTTTTCTTTTTAATTTTCAGCTAAATAATTTGGTTTCGCTTTTGTATCCAAGTCGTGATTGACGTAGCGTGTTTTTGTTTATCTCGTCATAAATAGGTTATGACTACGACATTTTCTATTGCTTCGTTGCTTATTAAAAATAAACTTGACTGATTTCCATCCAAGAATTGATTCTATTAATGTAACAATTATCAAGTGTGTAGTGCAGGATGTGTAGGATGAATTCAAGTCATAAGGAAAGAAAAGTTTGTTTTGATGAAGTCCAAACAAACTGCCTAATATAAGTTAATTCCGAGAACTGTCGCCGTCGTCGTGCAATTAAAAATCTTCCATCTTTGAAGACTTCGTGATATTTTATTCGCATTTTAAACCGGATTTTGATAATATTGAATTTATATTTGCTTTTTTAAAGCGACTTTAAGAGGAAGCTCTCAATTTGGACCGTGTGCTTTGTTTTCTCTTCGGATGTCTTAGATTACTAATAACAGAACAAAATAAAGTAAAAACGAGTGTATGAAACAGGCATTGTTCCAGTATAACGTTTATAGGGATTGCATAAAAGTTGTTTGTCCAAAATTCCTGACCTGTTATTGAATGTCTGAGCTGTATTTATTCCCTTTATAAAATGTTTACAGTATGTTTTGCAATTTAACGATCACATGGGTGTTACGTTGTTTTGTTTGATTATATTGTTACGGTTCTTAAGACAGTAGCTATTCGACAGTTTATGGGTGGCAGTTAAATATACCCGTCTCGGTTTGTCGTTGCAAATAGAATTTTGGCACTGACTGTCTGCGGTTGTGTAATTCACATATAAACCCTCTTGTTGGATTCAAGCTATCACTTCATAATATGAACTAATTATAATTTAATTTGTTTGACGTGAATTAAACTGTTCACATTCCTTTTGAGACCGCTAATTATATGGTTATGTGGGTGTATATACAAATTGAGTCTATTGCTCGTCTGAAGCTTGAATTTATATTTGAAACTTTGTCTGTAACGCGGTTTCGCTCGCATTATTTTGTGGATTAGACATCATAACAACGTAACTATTTGAACTGAGTGCTCATATTGTTTTTTACTTGATTGACAATTTTGGTGTTATTAAACCTCTGATTTTGTTGTTGCAGCAACTTAATTTATAGTTTTGCGAATTTAAAATCGAATCACAAACATAATATTCCATGAAAGCCCAACATATTTTTTTTAAGAAAGATCAAATTCGCAAGATAAAAATGTCTCATGTCATTTTAGTAAGATAAACTTAAGCATCATATTATTATCCTCTTGATATAATATTATCTTCATCAATTTTCAACTTACATTCAATTTATAGTACAGACTACCGTTTCAGATAACAAATACACGTCCTTACGGATCCATCAGATCCTATAACCTTTGCATTAGACGCCTTCAGCTCTAACACTAGGAGCAGGCTTAGAGACCCCGGTAACCGTACTCGTCGAACTCGACAAAGAGTTCGCCGTGTAACCTAACCCATGAATCAGCTCGCTGAATTTCTCGCCGGATCTTCTCAGCGGGTCGCGATTCCGATCCGGTAGTAGATTCATTCTCGAAGCAGCTGCTCTTGAGTTGTTAGGTCTCCTTCGGAGGCGCTCGGGTAGCTGTTATCAAATCCCACCCCCCTGGCTGAGCCTTTGCTCGCCCACCTGTCCTGGTGAAACCGGAAAGGCCTCCGGGCCACCAGTAATCCTTCAATCCTAAAAAAAAAAAACAAATAATGAATAGTAAAGAAACATAAAATACTCTTATATTACCAGTGATACATCCATTGTTTCGCACTGATTGAAACATCGCAATTGTATAATAATTGTTTTAATTAACACAACTGAAAAGCAGTTTTTTTATTTTCTCGTTATTACAATTTAAGAACGGAATTAGTTCGAAAAACAACCGTTTTCATCTATACTTCTATACTAATATTATAAAGAGGAAAGATTTGTTTGTTTGTTTGTATTGAATAGGCTCCGACATAGGCTATAATATTTAAAAAAATAATTAGGGATCCTTACTAAAACTCCAATAATGTAACCCAAGGTACCTAAAATATTCTTTTTATCGTGTGCCCTGCGAAAACTATAGATGATAGAATAAAATAATGTACTACGATTTTTATTTACAAAAAGTGTCGCGACAGCATATGTTTAACTATTTTAGTTATGCCGCAATAAGTGTTATTTTATTTTTTTAAATAAAACAACGTCAAATATCTTTGAAAATTTTGTTAAAGACCCGAGTGGAGCCGGAGCGGGCCGCTATTATTAATAAACATAAAATAGATGTATTATTTCATTCAAAAGCAAATAGCTTTTTCTATTTAGAATCGTTTTTATAAAGAAGAACATTAATAATTAGTAATGATTAGGCTTCTTGGTACTTCACCTAGTTCTTTAAAGTTTTCACGAAGCATTGTGTTGTTTTCAATAGAATGGGTATTACTGACATGGTGGGTGGGTAATTAGTGGAGTCGTCCTCGTTCTGAACATACCTTGACCTCGTTGCGCTGTTTTACGATCTTCAATACAATTTTATACTTTTCATTTAATACGCATCTCATAAAATGGCAGGTGGCAGTTTAAACACTAGATCATTAATACGCAAATACATATTTGATTAGATCATTTAACGGTTAATTTAAAAAAAAAAACGATAATATATTCAATCAATAATACTTTGTCGTTAATGTGAACTGATTAAATCGATACACTAATAATTATGCATCTCATAAATCGGGTTGTTAGTTCGATGAAAGTCGTGCAGATAAAATGGACTGTACAAAACGTGTGTTTATGAGTACATACTACTCGCGATTGACTGTCGGTTTGCACTATTAACAATGCTACTAGCATGGTAATAGTATCGTTCTATCTCATATGCATGCCTAAGCTACACAAAAAATTACCGTCAATGTGGAGCAGACGGCGTAAATAAAAAATATATTTATTAATACGTTAAGCAAAAACTTTGTAGAGAATATAGAGAAGGAAATTATTGATTTAATAAAGAAAACATTACAC